AAACACACTGCCTTTAACCCCTCAAAGTACTACTCTTAAAAGTTAAAACAAAATTTTTATACATTATAAAAAAATTTAAACTGCTCTGAAACCCTCCTTTGCTAAAAGTTACATATATCACACCACTCCAGCAAGAGATTAATAAATAAGGATTAAATATTCTATTTTACAAAAACATACAGAATGGCCAATGTCAAAGTGAAAGACTTATTTGATAATTTTTTTATCAAATTATGTTCATTAAGAAGGAATAAAACATGGTATAAAATAAGAAAACTGTCACTAAATTTATCCCTCTGAAGATAATCACATGAGTTGTTATCTAAAAATATCATGGCACCCTTGTTACAATATGTTTTTAAAAGACTGTGTTTCCTGGAACTAGAGGACTATTTGTCTCATAGCTTTTATTAAGCAAACTTGATATAACCACCACACAGTGGCAAGAGATAGAACAGCTGTTTCCAGCTACAGAAAATATTGAATTCTACCTTAAAGTACAGATTATTTGAGATATAACCCATAGAAGTTAAAGTAAATCATAGTGTAGTTTGTACTGAACTTAAGATATTTTTGCTGATTTCAATGGAGTATAGTCATTTTCCTGTCATTTGAGATCAGTTTTTGTTGTTTAGTAACTATTTTCATGTCCAGCCAAGATGTAAAGATTGCTGTGTGCAGTAGGATTTTCTGTTGGCCTGCTTTCCAAAACGACAACCCTGCAATTAAACCAAAACAAAAGGCTTGTTTAAAAGTAAAAACAGAGACTGCATGCTTCATTCAAATACTAATATCAAACCAGGAAAGAATATCATTGTTCATATTCTCATAAAGATCACAGGTGCACTGTCAAATTCAGCTTTACACTTCATAGGTTAAAAACAAAACTGAATAACAACTGTATGAATTTATGAATACAAAATACTCAAAACATTTCAGGATAGTCTCATCTTACTCCAATTAAAACCAAATTTGCTTACTCATATATGCCAATAAAAAGTATAATAAAGCTTTAGAATACAATTGATTCTAGAACATTAGGGTTAGGGGCACTGACCCCCTGCACAGTTGAAAATCCATGTATAACTTTTAACTCCCTGCAAACTTAGCCTACTGTTGACTCGAAGCCTTACCGATAACATGAATAGCTGACTACCACATATTCTGTATGCTTTATGCATCTACATACTGTATTCTTACAGTAAAGTAAGCTAGAAAAGAAAGTTATTCAAAAAATCCTAAGAGAAAATACATTTACAGTACTGTACTGTATTTATTGAAAAAAATCTGCATATAAGTGGACCCGTGCAGTTGAAACCTGTGTTGTTCAAGGGTCGATATACACTAACAAGAAGGGGGTGAACAAAGAGCGTAGAGAAGAAAACAGGAATCTAAGAGGCACCCATCCAAACAGTGATTCTGTGACCAGCCTGAGCTGGAAGACTGGAGGTTTTTCGTCCTTGCCTCACAATTGATGCCTATTACCGTAGCCAATTTTGCTGCAGTAACAACTTTGGGTGGGAAAATAGGAAGGGAGGGGTATTTTATTAATTGTAGAGGTAGATAATATAGACTTTGAAGAACAAAAGCTACTACATTTGTTTCCTAAGATGGCACAGTTTTGGAATTTGTCTTTCATTTTGATCAGAGAGACCACATGATTCCTTCTACTTTAGACTGACTTCAGAAACGGAGTCAAATGTTTTCGGATACAAAATGATACAAAAATGTCAGGAGGTGCATATTCTTTTGGGTTTATGTAGTGATAGTTAATAGAAAATAACAAACCGGGAACAAATGATGAAAATTAAGGGACCTGAAAATATGTCATGGTACTAGGGGCATGAACACACTGTTTTGGCTGACTATATCTCTAGAATCACGATCCTCACACTGGTGGGAAGATTGCTGAATCGAATAGTTAAATTCTTCTTCTCTATCTCAATAAAGATACAAGGAAATTTCTCTAAGTTGCTGAGCCTTCTAAGAATCTTGTTTGAAACAGTTACAGGGTGATAATATAATTAAGAACACAACTACTGAACTCCTTTGGTAATGAAATTAAAACAACTAAACTATTACCTGTCTGATCCCAATAAGCGGAAAACTCTTGTTTCATCTGAAATCTCCTGGGTAACCTATGAAAAGAAAATACCTATAGTCATACCTTCATCCCCATATTATTTAAATCATAATTTAAAAACCATTTAGACAGAGCAATTTTTGATAGGCTCAATTCCTCAAATGATATAAATTTTAGTAAGTTTTTTTTTGACTGCCTTATTAAGAAATAAATGAACATTTATGGAACATCTGGTATTGGTCAGGTACTTTCCTTAAGAGAATTCTTTGTGATATATAATTCCCATATTATTGGGGAAAAAAACCACTAAGGCTCAGAGAAGTTGAATAACTTGCTTAAGATTATATAACTGGTAGACCCAGGATTTCAATACAGGTTTGCTGAACCGCAGAGCCCCTACTCTTTTTTCCTTTCCCTCAGTGCAGATGCTTGACGTGGCACCCCATAGCCCACCTGAGTTCCACAGAGCTGTACTCCCAAGTACTAGTGTCTTACTTCAGTGTTATCTATGGTATTCCTCTGCTCTGTTTTCTCCAAAGCTGTAGAAGGTACACAAACTCATGTGCAGGTACTATTCCAAAGTGTGGGGAGTTTATATCCCTGGGAATAACACTTAATCAAAAGAGACAGCAGTTGGTGTATAAATGCACCAGCCTTCCCACCTTCAAATGAGTCTATTTTGAAGTATGCTCTATATCCTTCCTTAGGTGGTCCCTTTACGGTTAAGCCCTGGCACGCATAGTGGGAACCAGTTTATTAATATACTCTTTACTGTTTTTTTTGTGGTTGAATGGTTGAGTAGTACTTTATGAATATCACAGCTAGGCGCAAATGAAGGATGAGAACACAAAAAGAAAGAGGTAAGCAAGATGAGTTAAAAATAGGAAATAGAATTTGTACATGATATAGTGAGCAACAGGTATTTTCTATAGATTTTTAACCACAGGAGTGACACACTGAGAAAAGCATCTAAGGACAATTAATTTTATGGCAGTAAGTAGGATTACAGGTTTCATTAAATGCAGGGACGTGGTAACATTTAGTGACATGAGTAACTAGATAAACTGACATATCCAAAGACAGCTGATTTATGCTATTTTCTCTTGGAAGCATTCTGACTCCATATTCATGTAAGAGGTACAAATAATCAGTCACATATAAATATGAGCATGGATAAAACTAAAGATAATTCAAATAGAAGACTTTCAGTTTTAAAATAAGTCCAAAAATGTGTGAGACAATTGTGTAGAAGAATTACACGGGTACTCATATGAGTAGGAAATGTCTGTTAGGATCATCTTAACTATTAGGATTCATCTTCCAGGTCCCTCTCCTGCATAAAATGTAGCCTGATTATCTCAACTAGAAGTGATTTTTGAAGACCCTCCCTTCAAATCCAGACTCTGCCATTTACCTAGCCACTTAACCTGGGCAAGATACTTAACCACTCTGTGCCTATAAAAAATGGGACTATGAGGGGCGCCTGGGTGGCTCAGACGGTTAAGCCTCTGCCTTCGGCTCAGGTCATGATCCCAGGGTCCTGGGATCTAGCCCCACATCGGGCTCCCTGCTGAGCAGGGAGCCTGCTTCTCCCTCTCCCTCTGCCTGCCACTCCCCCTGCTTGTATTCTCTCTGTCAGATAAAAAAAAAAAATCTTAAAAAAAAAAATGGGACTATGAATAGTATCTAACCCCACTGGATTATTAGCTTTAAATAAGCTAATACTTGTAAAGTGCCTGGAACATGGATGGTCTAAAAGGTTTGATATTTATAATTATGCTTCATTATGCCTTACAGTGTTATAATAATAGTGTCTTGCATGTTGTTGGTACTCAATAATTACTTACTAAATGAGTTAATTTTCTTAGATTTTTCCTTAGTGCTGTGATCTAATACATATTAACTTAAAATTTAAAAAACAGTATTAAAAAAGAAGCTATACATTTATAGATTATGGAAAAGACCAAATTTAGAGAAGTTTAGCAACCTTGGCAACCACATTTACAGATTACAAATTAGAGAACTGAAATTGTACAAACTCATGTTTGACAATTCCTCATGGCCACTGAGAATCATACAATGAATACAAAATAAAATTATCTGAAGGGAAAATACTGGCAATTTTGCTCTACCAGTTCAGAGCATTAAAGGCTCTAAACAGAGTAATGTGGGTTCAGAAAGAAAATGCATAAAATGAATGTTTCAACATTTAAAATCTTTTGTGGGAATCACAGGAGGTAATGTGAGAAGCCTTACCTCATCTGATTTGAAGCTTTTACCCTGCATTCCATGTTTCCAGAAAGCCAACACACTATCTTGAAGGCATACTAAAAAAGATGAGAGAGAACTGAAACTAAAATAAAGCACAGAGTAATTCATTATACATTTTCCTTCACTGTTTTAAATAAATTCTAATGTAAATCTCTCCAAGTGCTTGGTGCAAAATTCCACTGTCTAGACCATCAGTTCCCAACATTTTTGTGGCTAAGCCATGCCTAAGCTCAAATAATTTATTGAGGCAGGGTCATGCAAGTTTTCAAAAATATATATAACAGGCATTCATTTAAACATGAGCTAACTTCTACTGAGCTGGATATCAACATATTAATTTCTCTTTCATATGCTATCTTTTGTCTTAGATGAATAAAAAAACATACATAATTGTTTTTTTGGATCAAAAACATGGTTATTTAAATACTGTCATATATTTACAAGTAGCTATTAAGGAAGCATCTTTTTTTTTTTAAAGATTTATTTATTTATTTTGAGAGAGTGAGAATGTCAGAGAGAGAGAGTACATGAGAGGGGGGAGGGTTAGAGAGAGAAGCAGGCTCCTTGTCGAGCAGGGAGCCCAGTGCGGTACTCGATCCCGGGACTCCAGGATCATGACCTGAGCTGAAGGCAGTCGCTTAACCATCTGAGCCACCCAGGTGCCCTAAGGAAGCATCTTTTATTTATATTTACATTTCCCTACTACAAATTTTATTTTAAAATGTAAACCTGTCTTATAATCCAAAATGTACCCACACACTATTTGATCTGTGAGCCAGTTCTTATTCAGAGGGGCTCCCAGTTACAGTTCTAACTGCTGCAGCCTTCAGCATCCCCACCCCCACCCACCTCAGGCCTCTGGAGTCCCCTGGGCCTTTCCCTGGACTTGCAGGCCCCACTGTCCACACAATGGTTCACCACCAAGCTTGCTCACCTTCCTAATGGCTTTGGATTCAGGAGTGACCATGACCCCAAAGTGTGGCCACCACATGACATGCCACAACCCCTCCTGCTCCCTACCCATCTCCCCTGTTCCCCTGGTGTGGCCTGAAGGTCTTGGAGGGAAACCCGTTCTTGTGCCTTGTCCATCTCTATCTTCTCCTTGGTTTCAAGCAATAGGCCTGGGCCCACTGAGGCACCCTTATGGGGTAACTCAGAGGTTTAGAAATAGAGTAGGCAGGCCACACAATTGTAGGGGAAGAGAGCAGGCCCTTCCTGGCAGGGGGCTGCAGTCATTAAAGTGTAGTCAGTGAGGGAGAGAGCCCATTTGATTTTGGAGAGTTAGCCACATGCCCCACACAGTAAAGGTAAAGAGAGAAAGTGATTGAAGCATTTTGTTTCTTACTAGAATACGGACTCTGTAAAAAGTTAATGTAAGAATGTTCTGGGAATATAAGTTAGCTCAATAAAAATAAAAGTATTTTACAGTAACAAATCACATGTTTCACTAACTGTGACAAATAAAAAGACTCAGTTACTGGTTTTATTTTTAAAAGGTGATTTAAAGGGACTCTTTTTTTTACCCAGGAGGATCCTTGTAATTATTTCCAAGTTCACTAGCAAGGAGAGATGGTAGCTTAAGAGGAACAAACTTCTGTGTAACAATTAAAATTTCCTAAAATATGTGACACATGTGAAAAAGTTTAGGTACCAGTATGTTTCAGTTAAAATGAAAAGGAACTAAAGATCTGTATGTCAGAATCCCTATTGAAAATATTAAATCTTGGAAACTGGTATGCAATATCCAGCACATAAAGGAGTAAAAGAAGAAACTAGTTTCAAAATTCCTTTTGTCTGGCCATCTACAGAATGTTTAGGTTTCCTGCTTCAATAAATTAAAAATTTTCCAATTGCAAGCAAATTACTTTTATGTAAAATGTTTACACAGAGGGATGAACGTACTTTGCAAAAGGGCAAAATTCCAGTTGAGAAACCATTAAAATATTTAATAGATGAAACAAACTTTCTAAATGAGAAACATATTTTTAAAAGAATATACATTTAATTATGAAATACATGTACTTTTTACGGCACAAATAAAAATTGCCAACATTGTTTTTAACTATTTTTGACTTATAGTAGAGTCACATCATATATTGTTCAAAATGTTTCCAGTTATGGTATTTTTTTCATAAGTTCTATCACCCCTGGGAAAATATTTACTGACATATAACCATAGAGGATGCAAACAACAATAAAATATAATAATTTTTATCATAAAACCAATGAGTATTACACAGAGTAAAATACTCATTGGCAAGGAAGCAAATTAAAATGACTTATTAGTTTCCAAGTCCTATGGGAAACTGGTTATTTATCTATTTATTTAAAGATTTTATTTGTTTGACAGAAAGAGACATAGTGACACAAGCAGGGGGGAGTGGGAAAGGGAGAAGCAGGTCTCCCGCTGAGTAGGGAGCCTGATTCGGGCCTCGATCTCAGGACTCTGGGATTATGACCTGAGCCGAAAGCAGACGCTTAACAGTCGACTGAGCCACCCAAGCGCCCCGGAAACTAGTTATTTATAATATAAATGAACCTAAAAGCAATAATCATCAACCCACCAACCTGAACTTTACATGGCAAAGAATCAAAGCATATCTAACACCATTAAACACATCACACAAATACCTTCATGATTTGGAAAAAAACTGGGAGTACATAATTCACTTCATGCAGCAAAAGGAACAATGAACAGAAATTTTAAAAATGATTTCAAGTTTTAACTACCCAGGAAACAACAACAGAAGATTTATTAAGGTCTAGACCTGCACTGTGCAATATGATAAAGCAACTGGCCACATGTGGCTATTAACATTACAATTACATTAAAATTTAAAAAAAATTAAAATTAAAATGTAGCCCTAGCCATGTTTCAAGTACTTAACAGGTGTGGTTAATGACTACTATATTTAAGAGCACACAGAACATTTCCACATCACTGAAACTTCTGTGAGACACTGCTGGTCTAGACAACCCCAAGTATGGAATAAACAAAAAATCAAGTATTCTAAACACATTATTAAAAAACAGAGGCTTAGGCAAAATAGGTGGAGGGGATTAAGAGGTACAAACTTCCAGTTATAAAACAAGTAAGCCACAGGGATGTAATGTACAGTACAGGGAATACAGTCAACATCACTGTAGTAACTTCGTATGGTGACAGATGGTAACTAGACTTATTGTGGGGATCATTTCATAACGTATAAAAATATCAAATGACTATGACGTATATCTCAAACAGGATACTGTATGTCAATTATACTTAAATTAAAAAAAAAAGCAGACTTACCTACAGATTCAATGCGAAAATCAAAACTTAGCTCGGAGGCCAGTTTCTTACTTGATTTTAGTTTTCCTTGTAGATTTACAATTTTTACAAATTCTTAAAAAAAAGAAAAAGCAAGTCAAAACTGGAAATACAAATCTGCTAAAATAAATGGAACTTGGTAAGTGGATTTTATATGGATATAGAACAAATATTCTTAATAAAGTTCAACTATTTATTACCATGATTCAAGTGTGCCCACTGAAAAACTGTTATTAATATGTGCAAAACTATCTGTTTTATAAGATATAAGAGTGACTTCTTTAGTAAATAAGGCAATTCCACTGCTATTTTTTTCTTTCCTTTTTTCCTTCTCTTTAGGATTCTCATTTTTTAAAAAGCATGTTTCAAGGTGGCGACCTTAGTGCCCAAGTACTTAGCAATTGGAGTTGATATTTTCCCTCACACATTATATAACATATGATAAGTAATATTTGTAGTAATCTAAAACTTTAGTATATGAATAATATTGTATAGAGGTACACAGGGGCAACAAATAGTACTTCTCAAGGGTCATAATTTTTTTTTTTTTTAAGATTTTATTTATTTATTTTGACAGAGATAGAAAGACAGTGAGAGACGGAACCCAAGCAGGGGGAGTGGGAGGGGGAGAAGCAGGCTTCCCGCTGAGCAGAGAGCCCAGATGCGAGGCTTGAGCCCAGGACCCTGGGATCATGACCTGAGCCGAAGGCAGATGCCCAACGACTGAGCCACCCAGGAGCCCCAAGGGTCATAATTTCTTATAAGTAAATTCGAGGATGGTGAGTATACACAAATCTATTTTTTATCTATTTGTTTTTAATTTAACCATCTTTAGCTCTGATTTGGAAGACACCTCTCTGCATTACTTTCTTATCTGTCTACCATGATTTGTGCTTATAGTCCTATCTCTTCTGCCGCTTACTAAAATTGATTTATACTGTATAGTTGACAACTCACTTTTAAAGTCTTATTCTGCTCCCTTAAAAAAACTCCAAAGCTCAAGAAAGTCACCTTTCCATTTACCTTGAATAACTGGCAAATGGAGGGCCTCGCTAATCAAAGGTTTTTAACGTTTTTTGATAAAATACATAAATCAACAAAATGAAAACTAAGCACATTTTCCTTAGATGAATCAGAAGGTTTTTAGGGATTTTGGCATTAAAGATTCAACATTATTAATATTAAATTCTGATTATTTGCTTAATCAGTACTGAACTTCCTACTTGTTTGGATAAAAAAGAATTTATCAAAATCACTTAAACATAACAGAATAACACTCCAATCTTACCAGTAGTCAAAGAATCCAAAGTACTTAAAGAAAGGATGATGGGTGAATGAAACAATTTGGGTTTTGGTTCACTCTACAGTATTAGTTGATCTTTATGATTATGTAAGGCAAATCCACTAGGGAACTCTTTAGAGAATAGGAATTAGGACAAAAATACAGGCAAATTCAGTAGTAGAACAATTTTTAAAATTACCCTGAACACCTCTGGACACGTCTAGTAATTTAAAAATACTGAAATGGATCAAACATAGCAACGGTTGCCAAGTTTTAAGTGTAATTTTAAGTTTGGGTGAATTTCACCTTGCATGATTTACTGTATAAAAATAAGGTGAGTTTTAGGAACCTGACTTCTTTGAAAATTGAAATAATTCCTGTTTTTGTTGTTTTTTCTGCTTCTCCACTGCTTATAGTACAACATATTTCTATCAATAACATCTCTCCCTGCATCAAAAGAATTATGAATAGCAGATGAAGGTGTCAAATCTGTCTGTACATTAGACTCTCACTTCTACATGATTCCAAAAGTTCATGTTATATGACAAAGTGACCATACTAGTATAACCTTCTATTTTTTCCATTAATTAAAGTAAAGTAGGAAAAAAACTCAGTTTTATACAAAATTTTACCCCAGGGTTATGGCAAGCTGTCCTAATACGTTTCCAAGTAGGTCAAACAAAATAAAAAAAAAGTCACAGAGAACAGTATTAACAAACAGATCAATTAATTACTGTATCTGTAGCCAATTTAGGTTTTTCATCAATAAAAAAAGCTACTTTTAAGGCAGAAAAGGGAAAATCTTGAATTATAGTTTAACAGAATTAATTCCACGAAAAGATGTTATATCAAGTAGTATACTCAAACTTTAAAAGTGTACTTACTATCTAAACACACTAAAACAGTATCTCTCTCCAACTGTGTTACGTGAATGGAATCTAACTGTTGGCTGCCTTGGAAGGAGAAAAAAAAAACAGGGTTATTGTTACACAACATGCTTTAGAAACCAAAGCTTAGAAAAGAAACACAAATGCCGAATTTTTTTCTTTGATTTAAAACTAGTCTTTGAAATTTAACACAGAAATTGTATTTTGTAATTATGTTATCTTTCAAAAAAATGTATGTAGGTCAACTTAGAACAGACCTAAGTCCTAAGCATAGCTAAGTGAGCTGAGAAAAACTCAACTTTGCATTTAATTAATACCTCAACTAGTTATAGAAAGGTTACAAACTTAAAATGAAGCCAAGGGTAAATATGAGGAAGAAAGTAAATGCATGCTATACAATGACTAGATTTTGCTGTGTATTTTACAATAGCCAACGGGAGGAGGGAAGCAAGATCAGTTAGGTGAATCACAGCATCTGAAATAAAAATAAGCCAGTAATTCAGAAAAATCAAAAAGATTAATGAAATTATTATCAGAGAGAAACCTTTTTGGTGTTGGTATATGTGTGCATATGTATAAGTGGGACTTCCTTTATTAAGAGGCCACAGAGTAACATAATGGACAATACTGTCAACAACATCTTTCCATGAAGCAACTTTCATAACTTTGCTGATATTCATGGGGCTGCTTTGCTAACAGGTGTGATGACATTTTTGTAAAACATTTTGGTAAAACAACTCATTTCAGGCACTCAGTTTGCCTGAATGATCTAGCAAGCACTGAGCAGGGGGGAGGAGCAGAGGGAGAGGGAGAAGCAGACACCCTGCTGAGCAAGGAGCCCGACGTGGGGCTGGATCCCAGGACCCTGAGATCATGACCTAAGCAGAAGGCAGCTGCTTAACCGACTGAGCCACCCAGGTACCCCTAGAGCAGTCATTTTTAATTACATCTCTTTGGGAAGCCCTCTCCCTTAGAAACTGCACATTTGAACATAAACAAACGTTTTATATATTACTTTGGGGCTTGTGGACCTTTCAAAAAGCCCATACAAAGTGAAGCATTTAGATCTACAGAACTGAGACCTCAGTCAACACTCCAAAATAGTTTTTCTCAGTAAATCTATATACATGCCTTTATTCAACAAATATTTATTGAGTGCTGATAATATGCTAGGCATCACCTTTTGGAGATAAAGACATTGCAATGATAAGTTAAACTAAGACTGAAAGAGTCTTGGAATAGGAGTTCATTTTAACTGGTACAACTGTTGCTAACTCAAGGCCTGACCTCAACAATGAACACAGATGGGAGGCAAAAATGGAGAAACCTAATAAGGACCACCTCTGCTTGAGGGTGATTTGAATGATTACCCTTAAGCAGAGTTCTGGCTTTCCTCAGAAAGTAATTCTGAGGGGCGTCTGGGTGGCTCAGTCGGTTAAGCATCTGCCTTTGGCTCAGGTCATGATCCCAGGGGCCTGGGATGGAGTCCCACATCAGACTCCTTGCTCAACGGGAAGGCTGCTTCTCCCTCTCCTCCCCACTTGTGTTCTTTCTCGCTATCTCTGTCTCTCTCTCAAATAAATAAAATAAAATTAAAAAAAAAAGTAATTTCGGGTCTGCCTTAATTTTAGCCTAGACAATGTTAAAAGTGGGTAGAATAGTACCCTCAGGCATTAAAAAACAAAGCAACAACCCCCCCCAAATTCAAAAGAGGACTGTCTACCCTTGAGCAATGCAACCTCTTAATATATCACACAGAAGAAAGTGGTTGCAAATACAGATAACTGTATGAAATACCTTGCTCTATACCACTATTATATAGTGGTATATAATAGTAAAAAAAAATAAAAGTTGGGGCTGTCTGCCAAAAATGATCTTGGTTTTTAAATAAACTGATCTATAACTCTTCTTTTTAGCATAACTATGTAATAGAAACATGTTTATGTTTGGGCTGTTTATATTTCATGATAAAACAATGTCATTTGCATCATTCTGTTAGCTATACAGAAGGTGGTGCTTCTAACTCAACTAAAAGCGTTTAAACAATAAATTAAGAAGAAAGGTGGAGTATAGGTGGGGTTGGGAGGGTAGAGAATACAATCTTATTTTACTGGAAATTATGACTTGGTCCATAAAGAGAGTGATCATAGACAATCCAGCGCATGCTGGAACTGGCTTGTACTGGGTTGTTAAATATTCAGGAATTTTGTGAGCCACATGAAATCAGGTTTGGTAGTTTGAAATATTTCCTTGGTGGGAGTATTTATACCACAGAAACTGACAACTGCTACAAGTCAGGCTTCTCTGTACCCCAACTGTAGTTAAACATTTATCAGAACACCACTGGTTCATACTGATGCTTATTCTCAAAGTGACATTGGTGTGGTTCTACATTAACTTCAACAGCTGGGTTGTATAAAGAGTTCTTGTAATTTAGCCTACAAATGAGCAAAAGATATAGTAAGATATTTAATAAGAACAAGCATCAAACTTGATGCCTGTAACAAATTTCTTCACAAGGTAATAAGGAAATATAACAGTGGTAAGTAATGAAATAGTTCTGACTGAAGCTTGCTTGACCTCATATGTAAAAAAAAGACTTGATAAATATAGGGTTACAGATGATCAAATAAGATACTAGCACAATAAACATTAAAGGATCCCCTTCATCTCACTTATTATGTAGATTTTTAAAAATTTGTGGTTGATTTGTTCCAATTTTAAAGTTTAAGAATAAACTTCCCAACCTTTTCAGAGCTTTCAATGAGACACATATGATAAATCCTAGGCTAATGAACTATTGTTAAAAAGCACAAGAGCTATTTCCCAGTATCTTTAAATGGTAAAGCTTGGAGGTCATAACATGAGAAGCTTCTAGTCAAGTCTGAAAAGCACTTGAACCTAATGATTCTAGGAAGTGTGGGGGTGGAAAAACTTATAGGAAAGAGGTAAATCTCTTTGCTTGAGAAGCTGATAAATTTGAAAAATGTCTTAGAAAATTTAATTATTTAGTAAGTTCAAAAATTAACTGATAACAACTAAGACCTTTGTATGTCAGGAATCATTAAAATTTTTCTTGGTAAAATAATTTGTATCAATTGCCTCAGGCATATAGAGATCATAAACAATATGTACATGTTCCTCTGGACTTACTTGCGAAACTATGTTGATTGACTCTTTGAACCAGCCCATGCTAATTGAGCTTATTCTGCTTCTTTTATATGCAAAAGCATCAATATTTTAACATAAGGTTAAAAACACTTACCTGCGCCAATTTCTGTAAACCATGAAGATGCAGAGTTCAAATTGATTGTCTCAAACTGAACAACCTGATTTGATTCGGTGCCCTTGCTAATAGCTACACAGACCATAGGATATTCCTGTTCTGGTATTACCAGCATTTCAAAAACATTCAAAGGACTTGGCAAAGGAAAATCAAAGTGCTGCAAAAAATAAACAGAAGTATAATTTAGAAACAATCTCCCCATTCATACTGTTGAATAAAGCCAAAAGAAAGGCTTTCATTTTCTCCTTGATTGATCTACTTCTAAAAATGACTACCTCTAAAATGATCACGGTAAGGTTGAGTTTTCTATAAAAATATGTTTTAGAGAATTGGCCAGATTCATCTTTATGGCTGTGATGCTTCTGTTAAGTTAACTAACATAAGTTACAGAAGAAACCTTAACAAGAATACAAAAACCCCTAAACCAAGTAAACACCCATAAATAACTGTAAATGTGTGGAGTAGCATAGTAGCATTGAGATCATATAATTTTAAGCATTTTATTTTGGGGGGGGAGGGGCAGGCAGAGAGGGAGAGAGAATCTTAAGCAGGCTCTATGTTCAGGGCGGAGCCCGACATGGGGCTTCGTCTCAAGACCCTAAGATCACGACCTGAGCCAAAATCAAGAGTCTGACACTCAACCGAATGAGGCACCCAGGCACCCTGAGATCATATAATTTTAGCTTCCGTTATACACTAGGGTTTTCTAAAGAAGAAAACTATAAACAAAGTAATACATACCTTTATCAACATGAATTTCTGCATTGGCTCATACCACTGAAGTAAAACAATTCCAGACTGTAAAGCTCCACAGAGGTATTTATGTCCTGTGTAAGGGTTTCTGACTGGAAAGAAACAAAGCAAAACAGACACAACCAAAACAATGAACACCTTGATACGAAAACACAATTAGTTTAGTTCATTAAAAGCAACAACTGAGTTATGCTCATTTAAGAGCTAACTCACTTTCTTTATAAAGGCAGTGCTGATATATGGGAAAAACAATGAAATGTGGCTTGCCATTGATACCAAAATATGGATGGAAGAAACTATCTGAAGTGATTATTTAGCTGATAAAGAAAAATGATTGTTTCTATTCACAAGGATGATAAGAGTAAGTAAAGAAAAAGGATGTTTTTCTTTTGGCTTTGTTACCCTTTCCTTTTCACTTTCTTACCTCAATTTTAAATTATATACAATTACTTCTAAACATCTTTATGTTAAACATAGGAACCTGCTACAAGGGACAATATTTTAAGCACTAAAACACCTAGAATGCAACCTAAAGAGCTGTTTTTTAAGTAAACTAACTGAAACAGAAAGTCTAGGAAGCAACTGAAATCTATGATTTCATTTTTGGTATAGTAGTTTACTTAAGGTAAGATGAAAATAACTATTTTACATTTTACTAAAGATGTAACTTTCTTGACTCAAATCTACAAAAAATCGTAATTGGTCTTTCCTTCTCCCCAGTTTGACTCCCATCAACAATTATATGTATTGATTACATGAGTCGTTATTTGCAAATAAGCTGTATCTTAATATATTTATGAGTTTATATCTTAAGATTGTAAGCTTCTAAGACCTTTCTTGAGTCATAGATCTTGGGATTCTGATAACAGATATGGACCTGATTCTCCCTGGAAAAATGCTTATGAAATTTGTTTATAACTAAGAAAGTATCCTATGGAACCATGCAGCATGAAGATCAATGAGTAAGCTCATTGCTTCAACAAACAGAATTAAACAGGAAGTTAAGAGCCCAGGATCTGAAGTCATGGACCAGGTCTGATCCCAGGTTCTGTTTCTTACTAGCGATATAACAAATATCATGGAGTTGACTGACGGTTAAATGAGGTAAAATAATTATATAGTAAAAAATTTAACCTTCCTCCAAAAGAAGTCTGGCCTTTGTCCCCCCTTTTGGGAGGTAATCTCTAAGCTTTAGGAATGTCATGTTTGATAGGAGTGTCTTTGTTTGCCTGGGGCCTTGGGTCACTGAATAGTCTAATAATATGATCTCAAGTGGGGGCTTGTGACACTGGACATTCTTAGGGGAAGGACAGTCATGCCGAAAAGACCAGCAATGTGATTTAGGATTTAGGCTTTGGGTCATGCAGTATCAAATGACCTTCAGAGGGATTGGATATTGAGATCAGCCATGTAGACAATCAAGCCTTTGTGAGGGGAGCCCTAATAAAATCTCTGAGTATTGAGGTTGCAGTATGCTCCCTGGATGGCAATGCTCCATATGTATTGTCACACACCACTGCCAGGAAAGTAACACTGTCCATTACTCCACAGGGAGAGAACAACAGAAGCTCTATGTTTGGTGCTATTCCCAGACTCTGCCCTATGCCCGTCTTCTCTTGGCTGATTTTAATTTCTATCCCTTCCCTGTAATAAATCGTTAACTATGAGTATAAGTACTTTCAGTGAGTTCTGAGTCTTCTAGAGAATTTTTTAACATGAGGGTGGTTTTGGAAACCCCCCAGACTTGCACTTGGTGTCAGAAGAGGGTGGTCTTGCGTGGACTGTTCCCTCTAACTTCATAGTTAGCTAAACTCCTATAATAATGTTCGTAAAGCACTAAGCTGTAATGGTTATATAAATGCAAATGTTAAATAAATGGTAAACTAGGATCTTAGCAGAGATACAGCCTCAGGGAGTATGGTTAAAAAACTCTAGGGACACTGTGCTCTGAGAAAGCATTAGGACTGTTATCTCCAAACATTTTTATGCCATGTCCTGCCACACAGTCTTGTGCTTCAATGGCCCCTTAACTACTTATTAAAAACAAATACAAAGCCTACCTTCCTTCCTATTTGATACCTTAAGACTCTCCATAGTCTTAAAGAATTTTAAGAATGTTCAAAATTCTAATCATCCAGTTTGAGAAACAGCGTTTACTCACCTATGCAACATTTGTGGCAGCCTTTTGTGTCAGGAATCTTTGTTGTTAAAGCGAACTTTCTGAAACACAGGACAAGGTAAATGTACTCTACTGCAGTGGCTCCCAGACAGTGATTTGTGACCTGGCTACACAGTAGCCAGTCAAGGAGCTTTACAAAACCAATCGTAAACTCTGACCCCCAAACTACCTGATTCTCTAGGACTGAGACAGGGCCTGCAAATCTATATTTATAAAACTTCTATAGGTGGTTCTCCTGGACAGTCAAGCTAAGGAAACACTGATCTTTTGAATTCTATATGAAGTGCACTTTAGTGTAAACTACCTTTCAGAATTAAAACAAAGGAAGTTTTGGGCGCCTGGGTGGCTCAGTTGGTTAAGCGACTGCCTTCGGCTCAGGTCATGATCCTGGAGTCCCGGGATCGAGTCCCGCGTCGGGCTCCCTGCTCAGCGGGGAGTCTGCTTCTCCCTCTGACCCTCCCCCCTCTCATGTACTCTCTCTCTCTCATTCTCTCTCAAATAAATAAATCAAATCTTTAAAAAAAAAAAATAAAACAAAGGAAGTTTTTTAGTGGGCAAGGAAAACTGGTTATTTTAAAAATAGATATTAATGCCCCTCACTCCCAAAAGAGTTAAAATATTTTGTACCTTGGTAGTATGCGGTCTGGAAACCTATGAGTTTGAATATGGGCAGCTAATCCTGGTTTTTTGGCTTGTTCAAACAAAGCTATAAGGTTATGAGAGTAGAGTTGAAAGGTTTTTCCTATAAAAGAAAAACATGTTATTTTTATTAGAATCTTTCACAGCAGAAAAACAAGAATTTTTAAGCAAAAGAAAACATAATTACCTTCTAAAAATAAAGGAGTCCAGAAATGTTCAAAGAGCCAAGTAAAACAGAAAAACATATGAAAAAACAAAAAACAAAAACCCAGTTAATACATTTTAAAAGATAACAGTTTTAAGAAAGTAGATAATTATGTTTCCTAATACATGAATTAGGTATATTTTAACTAACAGGTGATCTGGGCAGAATATATATAAGCCTTAATGAAGCCAGCATAGAAAGAAAAAACAGTTAAACACTGTTGTATAGGGAACTGAGTTATAATGAGGAACATGTGAATATTTTAGTATAACACAGGAAATTCTGTAAAACTATATTATATTATCTTCCTGGGATAGACCCATTTATCAAGAACTTATCAAATTACCTTGGTTTAAAATTGTGAAGTCTTAAATATAACAACAGATTAAAATACTGAGAAAAGCAAAGCAAACTAATATTATATGCCATAATACCAGGATAATGGGGCTACAATTTCCATATAATCAAAACTACAGGTGTGTTAAGCAGGGGGAGATAAGGGAAACATCTACTGACTTCTTATTATACACACTATAGTACCATAACAACACAGAACAAGTATTTATCATTTTACTATTAGAAAACATAAATATACTTTTGACCCTTAAACATGAGTTTGAACTCTGTGGGTCTGCTTATATGTGAACTTTTTAAAAAATAAGTACAGTACAGTACTGTTAATGTATTTTCTTTATGATTTTAACATTCTTTTCTCTAGCTTACTTTATTATAAGAATATAGTATATAAAACATATAACATATAAAAATGTGGTAATCAACTGTTTATGTTATTGATAAGGCTTCCAGTCAACTGTAGGCTATTAGTACTTAAGTTTTTGGAGAGTCATAAGTTATAGGGATTTTCAAGTGCTCCGGGAGTCAGCAACCCTAACCTCTGCATTATTCAAGGGTCAACTGTATATGAAAAAGTCTTATAATACAGTATTGAGTCTTATCCTCAAGAAAATTCCCCGTATTTTCTTAGAATGCAAACATTCTGCCTAACACCATACCACACCCTACCTTTCTCCATTCCCCCCTATATTAGCTAGCGAGGCAGCTAAATACACTTGTGTATGTATGTGTGCATGTCCACACAAATGCAGACCCTCAGGCAGAATAATGTTTTCGCCTATTGAGCTCTGCTACTTACCTGCATTCAGTTTTATGGGTCATATTAACTAGAATATGGAAATAACTAATTTATAGGCTAACTTCTCCCTGTTTTCCTATAGTTATTTTATAAATATATAAAATGTATTCTGTGTGGTTTTTAAGCTTATATCCAAAGGCAGGAATGAGCAGGGATAAAAACAGTTAAGAGAGTAAGAGGAAAGTGATTTTATATGTATGCAAATCAGAATTGTTAAACACAATTGGGTTTAAGTTTATTTTTATAATAGCATATATTATTATTTTGGTAAACAAAAAAACCCTGGGGGAAGCATAATTAAAATCAAAGTGATTAAGTACTTTTTCAAGGACCCCAGCTTTTTAGAAGTCATTTATGCACAATCAAATAATATGTTCTTTGTAAACACTGTCATCAGCTCATATATACAAATTTCTGAAGAATCTCTATTAGGCAATGGTTAGTGGAAGAGTTCAAGTTATACACACACAGTTAAAATTATAAAAAAGACATTTCTTAGATTAGGCCACAATTCATAATGCTCCACCTATCAGTAAGGCTGTATATTGGCATTGATGCTTTAAAACATAAGTAGCAGAAAGGTACCAAAAAGCCTGACAGTACAGTAAATAAGAGCTGGGATATAACACTCACATAGAGAGAAGAAATGAAAAAAAATTTAAGAAATACTAAAATAATTACTTATTTTAAGTAGAGAGAGGGGTGAATGCTATTTTAATAGTTGACAGCATTAGGATTATTAAGAGACAGAAATAATTAACTCTCTTGTACTCTACTATCAGAATGAAAGTAAGCAGCGAACCTCTAGGTAGTCACTTAAATCTAAAATGTAAGAAAACAGGTTTTGGTAGGTAAGAATCGAAAAAAAAAAAGCGCTATATAAGTAAGCTCGAGTAAGCTGAGTGCTCGAGATCATCTCATTTAATCCTCACCACGGCCTCATGAGGCTGGTATTGTTTCCATCGTCCTCATTTTACAGTTAGGAAAACTGAGGCTGAGAGAGGGTGAGCTGTTCAAGAGCACAGAGAAAGGAAGCAGCTATATCCTCTGATACTTTCCCTGCAACTGTTAATTCTTCATGGAAGGCCAATGGTGCTGGGGTAGTTGGCGGGGAAGGAGTCTGAGCAGAAGTGGACGGCCTCAGGTGACAATCACTGTGATAGTCCTCAGGTGTTTAGGTCCTGGGCAAGTTTGGGAAGTGCTACCTTCACTGAACACAGGTCCTTTCTCAAGGTTTCTTTCCATTCTAAGTTGGTAGAAAACATCTGCAAGCCTCAAAGTTACTATACTATAGTTACCCAAAGTAACAAATAACATTTAAAAATACTGTACATTAAAAGTACATTTCTCTTGTGTCAACTATACTTCAATTAAAAAATTGTATTTCTCTGCTTGTCTATGGTTTACTTTTCATATTAGTTTTGTTATATACATACCTGATAATGACATTAAAGTATTATTGATAACATAGAGCCAAGTACATTTCCGTGGAAATAACTATAAAGAAAAAAAGGTAATTAAAATTCTCCAATTTTCATTCCCTTATGCTTTAACTTCCAAATCCCAACAGTCTGAAATAGTATAAAATAACTATTTTCTATCTTTTAGTAAATTACCAAAACTTTACAGGAAAAAAAATCCTGTAACATGAACATGTAAAGAGTACAATTTCACCTCCTTAAATATTTAAATCATAATAATTAAAACTGAGACCCATAAAAATTTAAAATTAAAATATTTCTTTTATTCAATATACTCAAACTAATTTCTTGAGTTAAAACTCCTAAGTTACCTGTTCCATCGTTGCCTCATGTAGTTCATTGAGATTCAATGTGTAAATACCATCTTCAGTTCCAAAAATGATGTACTGATCTAAAATAGTTGAAATAAATCACCAGAATTTACTATAATTTTCTGAAATAATTCAATAAAATGTCTTTATACTTTAATGGGGTTTTTTTAAGATTTTATTTATTTATTTAGCAAGTGCACGAGTGGGAAGAGGGGCAGAGGGAGAGAAAGAATCTCCAGCAGACTTCACACTGAGCGCAGAGCCCAACGATGGGCTTGATCCCAAGACCCTGAGATCATGCCCTGAGCCAAAATCCAGAGTCGGACACTTAACAGACTGAACCATCCAGGTACCCCTTTAATGGTACTGAGAATTAGCCACAGCCAAAGAAAAATTATTTTCTAAAATTCATGCCATCTTCTTTACCTCTTTCTCCAATTCTGATCTCATTTTTTAAAAGCAAATATATTCTCTGTTACTCATTCACTCTGGCTTTAGCTCTTTTTTTTTTTTTAAAGATTTTATTTATTTGTCAGAGAGAGTGTGCACAAGCGGCAGGGGGGAGAGGGCAGCAGGCAGAGGGAGAAGCAGGCTCCCCAGTGAGCAAGGAGCCCAATGCTGGACTCAATCCCAGGAGGCTGGGATCATGACCTGAGCCTAAGGCAGCCACTTAACCGGCTGAGCCACCCTGGTGTCCCTTGGCTTTATCTTACTTAACTTATATAATCCTTCCTTTCAACATAACAATCAGGTCTTAAAATTTTTCATTACAGCTATATATTTTTGCCAGATATCTCAAATACTCTTGGAAGAAGGAAACTGTAAATTAAAAAGAAATTATAAATCATGACACACCAGAAGCGATAAGTACACCTAAGTGTCCAGATCTTGGTTCCTAAATACTACCTTCCACTAAAAAGAACCAGGGCTGCTTGGAAAAGACAGATTCCAATTCTGGGGCAAGGAAAGTGTAAGATGTGCCTAGAAATCCTGCTGTGCCAGAAAGTAATGAAGTGATCAAATGTTAAGTAAAGTAAAAGAACATAGGAACTCGCACTGCTCAAAAATTCTGGGACAATTTAAGTGCTAAAATTAATAATAGATCATATCTCACTGAATAAAAATTCTTAAGTTTAAACTAATACATGTACATAAATAAATGGGAAAGAAGGGAAATTGTCTGTAGATCTCAAAAGACTGTCAATGGACTATCAATAAATGCTAAAACCAGTTGGTGGAAGTCTAATGAACAAGAGGATATTTATATAGTCTCAATGTATTCCATACTATTATTCAGCTTAGGAAATTAAGTAATTACTAATTAATTACAAACAAAAAAAAAGTAACTTGACAGTAGACAAAGCTAGTGAATACCACCTTAACCAGCTGGTCACTGTTAGTATCACTGGTACTTGGACAAGCTCATAGAATGTGCCTTCTGATAGGATGAGCTGAGAAGAGCACAGTAACACTTCTTTCATATTCCCACCAAAACCACATTACCTGATCTCAGCATGAGGACTCATCAGACAAACCCAAATTAAGGGACATTCTACAAAATAAATAGCCTCAAAAATGTCAAGATCTAGAGAGATACAAAAAGGTTGAGGAACTGTTCCTGACCAGAGGAGATTAAAGAGATGTGGTAGCTAAATGAAACATGTGATCTTGAATTGGATATTGTTGGGTTGGGGAAAAAAGGAAGGGGGAGACAATAAAGAATATTACTGAAGCAATTAATAATTTCTATATGGACGGTGATGTCAGTTATACTTCAATTCAAAAATACATAAATATGGACTGTGGATTACATCAATAATAAATTTCCTGATTTTCACAATTGGGTATATAAGAGACAATTCTTGTTCCTATAGGAAATACAAAATGAAGTATAGGGAAGCACTCTCAAGTAATTCAGAAAAAAATGCACATACAGGCAGATAATAGAAACAACTGATGATTCTGAGTATAAAGGAGTTTCTTGCATTATTTTTCTAACTTTTCTGTAAGTCTGAAATTATATCAAAAGTTATAAAGACAAAAAAACCCATTTCCTTACTGATAAAAACATTTTTTTCTCTGTTATACTTTCTAATAGTAGCATTTAAAACAGATAATTATATGACTTGTCTTTATTACTGTGTTAGAGTGGAAACAAACATTTCCTGAACACCCTTTACTGCCTAACCTCTTTTTGCTAATTGCCAGACACTCAGGTAGGGAGGCTTTTTCCTTCCTTGCAACAAAGTGGGTATTAATAGTACTTATATTAGGGGCACCTGGATAGCTCAGTCGGTTAAGGGTCTGCCTTTGACTCAAGTCACGATCTCAGGGTCCTGGAATGGAGCCCCATGTCCGGCTCCGTGTTCAGCCCAAGTCTGCTTAAGGATTCTCTCTCCCTTTCCACCTACCACTAACCCCACTCGCTTTCTCTCTCTAAAATAAATAAATCTTTAAAAAAAAGAAAAAAAGAGTACTTATGTTATAAATGATCACACTGAGAACCAGAGGTTTTAAGTATCTTTCCAAAGTCATGTAATAATGACAGAGCAGGAATTCAAACCCAGATCTATTTGATGCCAAATTTTTACCTCTATGTATTAGGCTTTCTCACTTTAAAAATATACAGTATAAATTTTTAAAAATAAAGTTTGTTATTTTGCTGTTATTTCAGATTTACAGAAAAGTTTGAAGAGTACAAAGAATTCCTGAATATCCTCCTTCACACAGATTCCACAAATACTAACATTTACTACTTTTGCTTTATCCTTTTTTCACCTTCCATATACACATTTTTTTGTTTTCTGAACTATTTAAGTTACAAACACAATGTCCCTTTATTCCTATTTCAGTGTGCATCTCTTAAAAAAAAGAAAAAGAAAAACCTTACGTAACCATAGTACAATGATCAAAATCAGGAAATTAACACTGCAACAATACTATTATCTAATCTAACGATTTTACTGATTGAGATTATCAATTGTCCCAGTATTGTCCTTTTATAGAAAAGAAAATCCCTAATCATGGTTGTAATCACTTGTGATGACTACTCAGTCTCCTCTAATCAGAGCATTTCCTATATACTCTAAATTCTAATACCTTACACCAAAACTCTATTTATCTATTTAGGTTGTTGCAGGTACCTGCCCGATTTAGTCTCTAAAGTCATATTTTTAAAGTAAACAACCTCAGTTCACTGACCATATACTTTCCCAGAACAAATATTTTATTAGAGATGTACATAAAAGTTCAGAAATTTTACCTTTTGTATCAGGATGTATCCAGGATGTTGCACAATTAATTTTCAAAGGGCAGCCATCAAAAACTTTGGAAAAACATGCTCCCATCTTATTTATAAAGAAAGAAATATTGACTTATTTGATTAGATAATTTTATATAGTCCTAGAAAATACCTAAGATTATTATAAAATGCTAAACTGACTCTTACTGCATATTTATGGTCTCATTACAAAACAAAATTCCTATTCTGATATCATTTAACTCTTTCTCCTATTCTTCCCTTGTGTAATCTGCTATTTCAGGGCAAAAATATCAGATTTATCAAAACATCTACATATATCAGTGATACATTTTAGGAATTTTAAGTCACCACTTATCTTTAGAACTAACATTTAAGAATGTGAAAGAATGGATGATATTTCTGAGCAGTATCACAGTGATTATAACTGCAGTATAACTCTGTAACAGTGAAAAAGACAAAAAGACTCATAGTTACGTTACATATTAGACTTTTACTGAATAAGAAGGTATAATTTATAAAGCATCCCATTCATATGATTGGCTGAACCACCTTAAAGAGCCACAGAACAAGCATTAACATAAGCTTCCCTGTTCCTTTTCACTGTGTATAGTTCAATATGAAAATGGCTTCAGGGGTAGAAAGATATTTAATTCATATTATAAAGAGAACACAGTACTACTGATACCACATTAAAGTTAACTTGGCCTTTGAAGGCTAATCTGAGAATCCAACTGCCATATTTACAAAAAGTGAAACTCTCCAAATTCTAACCAACTCACTCAAATTAGGGTATATGATCTGATCCATGGTATATCAAAATGCCTTTAATGACTCTGTATTTTGTGAATCCTTCCTTTCAATAGCTCAAGATACTTGACAGCAAATAAAAAATCTGCTGATGTGTCTAAAGAGATGGAAATTGGCAAGTGGTTTACATAGAAATATTCCTTACCAGCACTTTTGGGGTGGGTGGAAGGCCATTGATGGCTGGTTTCTGTGGGAAAAATAATTTTTAATGCTATAAGATCTCTTAAGCCTTAAAAAAAACCTTATACATTTGGAATTTTAGTTATTCAAATTCTTGACTTAAACAGACTATGCCCCCCGGCCCACGAAAACAGACATAGCCTCTTATGCGATGAGCATGGTAGTAGTCACAACTGATCACCAAACGCTGGTTATACCGACCGGGAAATCGCGCTTGTCCTTCTTCCGTGGTAACTGTGGTGCTTGTGCTGATCCTTCTGTATTTTCACTAATCAGTTTTGAAATACCATCACCATTTCCTAAAAAGAATCATGATTAAAAGCCAAATGAACACAAATAAGTACTTTCCATGAAAAATAATTTTCCCTTTCCCCCAGTACTTCTGTACCATTTGGGTGATCCTTTACTGGGAAATATTCTCTACTGGCAGACAAGTGAAAGTATTTTTGGTCCTTCTCTAGATTCTACAGAGGTAGCACTGCATAGTTAGCAGTGGTCTTAATTCATGAAAACAACACCAAATGTCTTTCCATATTGTGAGAAAAAGAAATGCTATATGAATGCTATGCTGATATTCAAGGCCTTTCATAAGTGGACTTCAACCTACCTTTCTAGTCCTGTCTCCCATTATATATCTTTCGAAAGCTCACACTTCTCTCATACTAGACTCTACTTACAATACAATCCAGATTTTCATGGTTCAGTACATTTGTTTATTCCTTCTTGCTCATCAGGAATGCCTGTCAGCACTGGCTCCCCCTAATGAAGGCTCAACCAAGTCCTTTAATACTCTGCAAGGGCCCACCCCCTCTATTGCCTATCCTTATCTTCCTAAACACTTCTCATCTTTATTACATGTAATTATTGTATGAGACACTTAAACAAGCTGTCTTGTCTAATGTTATGGGTACATGGGTGTACCTTCTGCTATACATCCTGAGCTTCTGGAGGGTAGGAACATCCATTCATCATTCTAAGACCCTGTCATATTTAGTAAGGGATCAGATTAGGATTGAACTGGACTGAATCTATGTATAGCCCATCCATGTGGAATTTTAAAATAACTTCAGAAAGCTTTAAACAGTTATAAGATTGACTGAAGACATTCTTTAAAATATGAAAATGGCTTTCTTTTCAGTTTTCACTTTGATTTATTTACCCAGATCACAGTATCTAGCTGTATGCACTCCAGGACTGCTGATACTGCTAGCCATACCAATAGAGGAAGTCTCAGCTACAGGACCACAACTTGGGCTACTCTGTCTTCTGAGAAACTGGGGAGCTCTGTTCTCTGAATCAGGGCAACGTTTTACAGTTGATGACTTTTCTTCATCTAGGAGGCTGTCTTCAGGGTAGCTGTTGATCCTTGGCTAGTGATAATAAGACACAAAAGTGCTTTAATAAATTTGGATATAAAACAGTAACACTCCATTATCATTATGTATCAAAGACTTGAGGGGAAAGGGGATATGTCTTTTCTTCCTTTCTTCTATATAATTCAATCACTGCGCTAAGTAAGCAAACGAGTTGAAATACTGTCCCAACACAACTAAGAACTTGCCATGTGATTTTTTTTTAATCATCCCTAAGTCAAAACTGATATAATTTTAACTGATAAAATTATATAAACAATTCACAAAGTATTTAATAAGTAGAAACAAGCAAGGACTTAATCAAGTATGACTCCACTGAAATAGCAAATTATAGTAGTAAATGAGGATTATAAATGATGAACTCTTATATCCTCTCCATGCAGTTTTCTCTCAAATGAGTATGACTGATTTTTACCTTTTTCTTATAGCTATCCAAATACTGTATTTCTCATGAAGTCTTTTTTAATATATATTTTACATCTTTGTAATCTCCTCGTAAAGAAAACTATATTTATCTAAATATATTTAAGAGAATTTTGAACAAATTCAATAAAATCATTTTTTAAACTTAATTACTATATTACTTAAAAAAGGATTTATTCAAAAATTTTAAGCAGCTCACCTTAGGAGGTAGGGGAGGTGGTACTGCGCGTTTTGAGGTTGATCTAACACAAAGAGAAACAGGCAATTCAGATGGTGGTAAATGATAACATAAAACAGAGACTCCATTAAATGTGCATTAAAATCTGTTTATATTCAGGGGATATAAAAAACAATTAGATCATGCTGAGGAGTTTTTTTACAATCTATAGAAGACTTAAGACCTCACTGTGTCAAACTGTATTAGTAGGACTATAAAATAGATTTTTATAAAATAAATACAAAGTCTTTTTAACTTTACGGTTTTGCTTTGCATATTTAGTATGTAATAAAAATGAATTAAACAGAGAAGTAAAAAACAGATTCAGAATTATAGAGCTGGAAGCCATTGTGAATCACAGATTCAAGTGGCTGTATCGTCAAACCCTTTAGCTGCCCCAAGTGGGATCCGCAGATCAGTAACATCTGCATCACTTTTACTTTCTGTAAAGGACCAGATAGTAAATATTACAGACTTTAGTCTATACTGTGGTCACAACTACTTAACTCTTTTGTTATAACATGAAAGCAGCCATAGCTTTTTTCATGTTATAAAAGCCATATTAAAAAAAGAAAAGCCATATTAAAAAAAAAAAAAAGCCATAGCTTTTTTCACGTTATAATGTGAAAGCATGGTTGTGTTCCAACAAACATTTATGGACACTGAAATGTTCATATAATTTTCATATGTAACAAAATATCACTTTTCTTTGGATTTTTTTCAACTATTAAAAAAAATCTAAATACGATTCGAGTTTGTGGACTGTACAAAAAATATGCAGTGGATCAGATGTGTCTTATAGGCCATAGTTTGCCAACCCCAGATCTATAAGCTGAATATGGAGGGCCCAGAAATCTGTATTTCCAAAGACCACTCGAAGCACTGCAATGCACAAACAGGCTTGGAACATTTAGGCTGGCCAGCCCTGCAACTTAACTGTTGAGGGAAGACAGGTCTAGAATATGAAGAAACTATACTGCAGAGATGGAATTGGGGCTTTTTGACTCCTCCTATAGTATTTCTTCCCATGACATTATGTAATTCATCCTTCAGTAAATTAACATTACACATACTAAGTTCTGACTTAAAGAAGAAAACTCAAGAAAACTTAATGATTAACACATGATGCCTTTTGGTAATTAAAAAGTCAGAAGCTTTACTCTGATAAAAGGCATAGCACAACTTCTTTAAGAATGAAAATTAAAACTTGTTAGAATAAACCACTCCCTCCCAATACTGTTCTTATGTAATCAAGTAAAAATAAAAAAAAATCAAGTTATTAAGTTAAAAAACAACTTACTTGCCAGTATTTGCACCATCAACAAAAGGATTCCACTGTAACACAAAGTTTGGGTCTGATGACACTCCCTGTGAAGGTGAAAAAATAGTTTAAAATGTTTCCTCATAACAGATATTAATCATCTTATTTGATTCAAGAAAATATTCAGTGTCATGATTGTTAATCATCTTGGCTTTCAGTCAATTTTAAAATCTCCAGCTAGAGTTGCTGTCATTTGACATATTTAGGTCAATGATTCATTATCAGTTGCCTTATACGTAAGAAGTTCCATAAACATACTAAATATAGTTTCAAATGACAAGCCCTCTTTACCATTGCTATTATATTCCAAATAAAACAGAGAAACATAACTCTGAATTATCTGCGTCACTAATCCATTAGTGTGGAAAACTAAACATCATATTATTAAGCTATCGTGAACTTACTGGTGCTATTTTTTCCCAATGGCATGGAAATTGAGAATTATATATCAATATATACAGTAAGAAGAGCATTACTGCCAAATGTTAAGAATGAAGAGATCCATTAACAGAAGACAATTCCTATAAAAATTATACTTTGCCAAAGCTGAAAAATAAAGTAAATATATTAAGATAACATCTAGGCAACTCTAATAATACCTTGCTCTATTACTTATTTCCTTTTAGATAAGGAAAGGTTTAACGAAATAGTAACCTCAAAATAAGCGCAATGGTTAAAATAGAAGCTATATTAATAAATAAATATTAAAACCAGTAAGGTAATGCAAACATAAACTCTAAACCTAAAGAGTTGGTAAGAAAAAAGATCCTGATAGCTTTAAGCTGAACATCAAAATCATATATTTAATAACTTCATGTAAATCCTTCCAAAGACTCAGAAGCGTCAAAATGAATGGTTAAAATGGTCTATTACACATTATACCCTAGTCAAAATGTACCTAACTATAAGCTTTTCAAACTTTAATGTGTGAAATGCAGTATCAAAATTATTGCTTAGAAGAGTATATAACTTTGTTCCTTAGTCAAAGTATACCTAACTATAAGTTTTCTTAAATTTTAATTTGTAAAGTACTTCAAAAGTAATGATTCCTACCATTTCATCCCGAGCTTCTGTTTCTTTTCTCAGAGGAGGTTCGAACTGTAATTTGTCAACTGCAAAATATGTAACAGATATTCACAAACTCTATCTAAAGGGTTAATCTCAAAAATGTAACAAGAAGCGTATGTACTGGGGAGAGGGAAAGGGAGAAGGAAGAAGACAAGATTTTTTACTGCAAGAGTACCCCTTTTTTTATATTTACCAAAAGAAGGTAACAATTTGGTACCTTCCTAACAACTCTGCTTAATTCTCGGTTGGAGTCAGGAAATTAAGCAGCACTTTTTGTGTATGAAAGATTTCAAAAAATTAAAGTATCCACTTGACTAAGAAAAAACACTTTAAGGATTTTCTCTCTGGGCTGCACACTCTGTTCTAAGGCTACAACTTTATGGCAGGGATGAACCTCCCCAAACTACCTGTAATTATCTAAAAAGAACAAACAGTATTTAAATTAAATGTTATAATAGTATTTGGAAATTTAATATATTTTGCTCAATGTGTATTTTACTTGGCCTGCTCAAACTTCTCTTATGTGAAATATTCTAAAACAGAGAAAAGGATGGCTTATTATCTACTTCACAGTTGTTTTGGGGTTTTTTTGTTTTTTTTTTTTAAGTAGGATGGAGCCCAACATGGGGCTTGAACTCATGACCCTGAGTTCAAGACCTGAGCTGAGATCAGTCGGACACTTAACCGACTGAGCCACCCAGGTGCCCCATAAAGTACACAGAAATTTAAGATTATAAAATTTAATGTGACTAAAAAACAAACAAAAAAATTCATATTTGCATCATAAAGATGCAAGATACCCAAATACAATCTTGGCAAAAAAAAAAAAATTAAAAAATCACTTTCAAAAAGGATCCAGTTGTTCTTATCCCTAAAACAAAATTTGTAAAGTAATGAAGTTTTCATATAATTCATTAAACAAAAACATTGTCATAAAAATTTTCAGTAAGATTGAAATACAGTTCATAAAACATTGTATCAACTTTTCAAAAATAACCTAAAATAAAAGCTCTCACTTATTAATGACTTATTTCTTAACATAATTTAAAAAATATCTTAACTCAAAAACCACTACTCTAATTCACTACTTCAATTCATTTGAGACAGAGATGAACTAAAGTTTTTGTCACAACTAGAAATACTGGCAGGCAAGCAGTGTAGAAAAGAAAGAGAAAATATCATTATCTTTAACAATAAGAATTATAGATCAAGCAAATTTCAAGACTTACAAGAAATTCCAAGAAAAAATGAGTTTCATAAACATTTAAGATGTTTTAAAACATAAGAAAAGTACTCCTTAAAAAAATCAAATTCCTTATGACCGTTCTAAAATTATTGCAGCCATAATTTATGGCACAGAAATGCTAGAGCCTCCAATATCATTGTTTTATGTGGTAGATGGGACCTCAACTTGTTTTGTTTTAAAGGAAATACTGACACTACCCTTCGGGTGCATTTTTGGCCTACGAAAATCCAAAGATGGGGAGGTCTTCTATTCCATTATACATACTCTTTTATTTCTGTAAGATGATGTAGGTTCTAGCCATAATGAAGTAACAGGAATTGGACTTATCCTTCTGCTTTAAACATCTACATACATGTAACACCAATGTGTGTACAAATGATATGAAGTAATTATTTTGGGGTAGTGGCTAACAGACCCCACAATGCTGTCATCCTTGAGAGAAGGGAATACACAGTGGTAAGGTCCACATTCACTCTAGCTTTCCACCTGGAGGCACTTTCCAAACTAGGGCACAAGAAAGTAGAATCCGAAGAGAGAGTAACAGTCTTACTGGGTGCAGGAAACAAAGACTGGAGATTGGGGCTGCTTAGGTGGTGGGAATTTGAAGGGCAGAGTGCCAGAAATAAGAAAGCTACACGAAGGAGCTCTAGAAATATGCCAAGGGATCTCTTTGTCTTTGGATGAATACTAAATTGCCCATGAGCAAAAAAAAAAAAAAAAAGCAAAGACTGTACAAAGTGTGTCACCAAAAGCTGACAAGAGTGTTGTGAGCTAAATGTAGATTCTGGTGATCACAGTGCCAGGAAAGATAGCTGAGTTTCTAACCAGAGGAAAGAGCTTGCTGAATACTCTGGTAAAACCTGACATTAGCTTTAAAAGGATCAAGCTGACATACCAGTTTTTTTTTTTTTTTTATGTTACGTTAATCACCATACATCACATCATTAGTTTTTGATGTAGTGTTCCATGATTCATTGTTTGCGTATAACACCCAGTGCTCCATGCAGTACGTGCCCTCCTTAATACCCATTACCAGGCTAACCCACCTCCCCACCCCCTCCCCTCTAGAACCCTCAGTTTGTTTGAGTCCATCATCTCTCACGGTTTGTCTCCCCCTCCGATTTCCCCCCTTCCTTCCTTCTTTAAACACCCTTTAGAATAAAGAGGACAAAACCATACACTCAACGTTGTGCCACAATGTCCAAGATATAATAATTAAAAAATAACCAGGGAGAAGGAGAATAGAAACCATAACCAGTAGAAAAATAGACACAGAACTTCAAATAAAGGGGTTTCCAAACACAGCATTCCAAATTTCCAAGAAAACAGGCCTCTGGGTCAATTTTCACAGTATTGGACCTGAAAGTCACCCTATCATATATATCTCTTTTTTTGTGTTATCATATTTCACTTGAACTCTACTCTTTCCAAAACCCTCTAACTCTTTTCCTTTGTTTAATGAGATGTTCCATAGTTCCTCTAGTGTGTGTTTTCCCTCATTGTACAGAGTCAACAAACCTGACTTTGCTGGACTACAAATTCATCCTTGGTGCTCTTAGACTAGGCCAAGACCATAATAATTACTTACATCTACTAAAAACACATAGGAAGAATGCTTATACTAGTCATAATAGCCAAAAACTGGTAACAAATCAAATGCCCATCAACCAAGGAATGGATAAATTGTGTTAAATCATACAATAAAACATTCTATTACTGTGAAAACAACTATTTCTATACATGACATGAATGACTTTCACAGACATAATGTTGAACAAAAGAAACCAAGCAAAAAGGGTGCAAATTGTAAATCCCATTTATCTGAAGATCCAGATCAAGGTAAAAACCAATCTATGGTGACTAGAGAACAGAACAGTGATTAGCCTGGGCAATGGAAAGGGCAGGGGGATATAGGAAGATAGAAGGGCGCTGACTGTGAAGGAGCACTAGGGAAGGGGCCTTCAGAGATTCTGGTAATGTTCTATATTTTGATCTGAGTGGCAGTTTCATGAGTGTATACATTTTTAAAAGTTCATCATATAGTACACCTAAGCATTTACTATATGTAAGTTACCAGCTCAAATTTAAAAAATGAAACAAAAAACTAAATAAAACTAATTAGGTGTATATAAAATCTATTAAAACAAACACATAAAAACAAAGCTATAAAATGCTCTTGATAGACACAAAAGAAGACCTGAGAAAATGTAAAGATAAATCACCAATAAAATGACCTTCAACTTTACCAATTTTTTTCTGGTACTGAAGCACAAAGAGCTTACACCATGAAGATATTAGTGCCCTGGGCATTCAGGAAAGAATAAGTCTTGAACTTACCTCTGAAAAAGCCTATCTTAGTTAAGAAGACAGACTATCATAAAGAGGTCAACTCTCCCCAAGCTAATACATGAACTTTTATGAAATCTCACTAAAAATACTGAGAATTTTTAACTAGATAAGCTGATTCTTAAGTTTATGTGGAAAAATACAATAGCAAAATATCATTAACAAAGAACAGCAACAAGATATGTATGGGCGGAGGGAGGAGTGAGGAGGGTGGGAGGAGGATTAGTCCTAACAGATTTTAAAAGACATAATAAAGACAAAATAATCAAATTATGCTATCGGCACATGACTAGACATACTAATGCAATGAATTTCTGGAAAGAATCCAAAAATATATATGGCCATTTAGGTACATCATAAAGGTGATATATCAAATCCACTGGTGAAAGTATTAAGTTTTTAATAATTAGCATTCAGACAAATGGGTAGTCACTTAAAAAGAACTGAAGTTGAATCCATACTTCATTCCTCTTACCAAATTAATATCTTGTATCAAAGATTTAAATATTAAAGAAGTGAAACTGTAAAAATAGAAGAAAAATAATAGAATTCTTTTGTAATCTTAAAATCAGGAAGGCTTTGCTAAATATGACACAAAATTCAAAAGCTACAGAAGAAAATATAGGCAAATTAGACTATTAATTGAATACTTATACACCTGCAAAAAATAAAGAAGGCAGCTTTATAATGGAATAGCAACTTTGCTACTTTGCTATATGGTATTTGAAGTCTTGAGAGTTCACCTGGGATTATACAAGAAGATAGCATAAGAAATATCAGCAATCTGAGACTAACAGATAAAATCTCGAATTACCGGTTTAACTAAGAAAAGGCCTGAATAAATCGATGGATATAGGAAGGACATTCTAACTGTCCACTGACCTAGATATTTCCAAAGCTGTATCCAGAAAGCTAGAAATATTTGGGTTCAAGAAAACTCAGATTTCAACAAGATGCTCATCTGCAATAATTCTAATTAGCTTAAATACTTAATATATTATCTTTATTACAGTTTATAATTTATCTTTTACTGTAAACTTTTAAAAAATCTCTTTTGAAACAGTATGCATTTAAGTCCATATACTCACACCTAAAATTTCTTTGCAAATCTGTTCTTCTAAATTAATTTGGCTAAAGTAATAAATATCCTTGATACAAAATATCTGTCAATGATTAATTTATTGAATAAATGTCAATCTCCCCTTTTAAGTATATATTTTAAAGAAGAGTCATCTCTCCTGTTAACTTGACTAAAAAAACTGAAACCAACCCAAATGTCCAACAACAGGAAATTATTCAACTACATACCACCTCAGTGAAAAAGGATGCAACCTTAAACGATTATAAAGGCTACGCTAATGTATCAAAAATGCTTCTATGTTAACTAAATTCAGTCATGGAAAAACATGAAGGCAATTTAGCAAAAATACTATCTGTGGGTTGGTACTGGGGGATGAGATTATGGGCAATGTTAATTTTCTATTTTTTTCCTCTTACAAATTTTCTACAATGAACATACATTACCTTTATAATTAGTGTATAAAAACCATTTAATTAAAAAACAAGAGAATTCCATTATAAACCTGAGAAACAACCTCTATTTTAGAGGTATTCTGATTATGTTAAAGCACATAGCTTCAGTTAGTCTGAAATTTTATTATTCCAAAAAGACCCACAAAAACACCCAGCTCAACCCTCCAAAACCACCAATTAAAAATGTATACCAAACACATACAATTTATTTCTGAAGCTGTCCGTTCAGCTCTGGCATTCCTGTTTGTAGATCTAATGGTATGACGAATGATTGCATGGGGCTGTGAATATAAGCATAATATACACACTTTAAAAAATTTCAGTGATAAAGTTAAAAGGTCAAACTTTTCTTTTTAACTAAACAATCATTTACTAACATGACTACCTAATAGAGCAAATTATAGGATAAACATAATTAAATGAACACTAAGATACTTTAAAAAGTTATTTATTTCATGTTTATACTGTATAAAGTAATGAAAAGATGCAAAGAAAGTCAGACAGAAATCTTATCTTTAAGGAGTCTGTAGTGCAGGCAGTTAAGATGCACAAATCATACGATTAGAAAATGGTCAATGCCGGGCGCCTGGGTGGCTCAGTCGGTTAAGCGACTGCCTTTGGCTCAGGTCATGATCCTGGAGTCCCGGGATCGAGTCCTGCATCGGGCTCCCTGCTCAGCGAGGAGCCTGCTTCTCCCTCTAACTCTCCCTCTTCTCATGTACCCTCTCTCTCAAAATAAATAAATAAATCTTAAAAAAAAAAAAAGAAAATGGTTAATGCCATCCATTAAGACAATTACTATTAATGCCCAGATGACAAAGAAATGACTTCCAGCTGAAGGGGTATAGAAGTTCTTCATGACAGAGCTGTAATCTGATCTGGGCCTGAAGGACAGTAGGCATTGGATGTGCAGCAGTGTGGGAAGCATTCTAGACAGCAGAGAGAATATGAACAAAGTAATGCAAGAAGAAAAAGAAATTGGAGCATTTGGAGGAACTGGAGTTGGTTATTACTTGGCTTCAGTGAAGATTAAGTGAAGAGATGACAAAGCTGGACAGACTGGGGAAGAGCCAGATCATGAAAGGCTCCAAATGTCAGCCGAGGGCTCTCATTTTATTTTCTCAGTCAAGAAATTTTTTGGAGATTTTACAAAAAAGGAGTGGTATTTCAGAGTCAGATTTAAGAGTATTTGGATAAGCGTATGGAGGGGAGAAATACTGGATGCAGGGAGATTAAGTAAGAATACTGTAGTTAATCAAGTGAGAAGCTTGCTACTTTACACCCTTTTGCATAAGCTCCTGATCCTTTGAAACAATGCCTTCAGCTTAACTGCCACCTATCAAATTTCTAATGATTCACTCTCATTCACTGATGAATGACAATGGCTCCTATGTTTTCTCCTCTACTTCAAGACCCACCACCATACCACGGGACTTAACAGCCCATTGTTTGGGACTTGTTTTCTGACCTCATGTCACTCTCCCAGACTTCAATATTGAATACACTCTCAATTCCTAAGATCACTCCCTGGACCTTGCCATCAGCTCTGATACTCAAACTCACGCTATGCTCCCAACTTCTCACCCTTTGAGCTCACTCTCATTTACTCCCATTACACTATTTCATGTTCACATTGGAATCTCAAGTCCATCGACCCACTACCTTCTTACCCTCCATTCTCTTATCTTCACTCTTCTTCCTATCCAGTTTGTATACGGTGGTCTACAATTTCAAGCAATCTCTTGCCAGTATCCTAAATTCCCTTTGCCCCACTGTCCTTCAGTACTCTGGCATGCCAAAATGACAACTTTGGATGAATTAAGCTAACTACCGTTGTGTTTATATTGGGGATACCAATCACTACTGGAGGAAAGTCACCCAGGCAGACCACATTGAAAATTCATCTCATCTGAGGCTTCAAATTTGCCCACAAACACTTGTCTAATCATTTAACCCAACCATTCTCCTCAATTACTATTTCACACCTTCTCTCCATACTCTCCAAACCCACTCATTTTCCCTCAGATTTTCAAGAGATGATCCTGCCATTTACTTCACAGAGAAAACTGGAATCATCAAATAGAAGGTATCTTCTAGCAACAATCTCAAATATCCTCCTCTCTCATGCAAGAGAAGTGTTTCATTACCTAAGATCAAGTGTCTCATAATCTAGATCCCAGCCTCTCCTCCTTTCTCAGAGACTTTGTCTATTCATCTTGTTTCTCTTAAATCTTTATCTCTATCTATTGGATCCCTTTCATAAGCATTTAATCCTATTCAAAATTACTTTCCCCACATAAACAGTTAACTAATTAAATAAATTCCCCACCAACTCATTTTCCTCCATCTACTGTTCATCCTACCTTTCCCTTTCACAACTAAATTGCGTAAATGTATTGCTATACTTATCTTCCAAACCACTCCAATCTAGCTTCACCTTGATAATTTGAGTATTATCCTTTTAAAAAAGTAATCAAGCACCTTCACCTAAATCCAATGATTTAAATTATCTTCTAGGCAATATTCTTTTTTTAAAAAAAAGATTTTATTTGACAGAGACAGACACAGCGAGAGAGGGAATACAAGCGGGGGAGTGGGAGAGGGAGAAGCAGGCTTCCCGCGGAGCAGGGAGCCCGATGCGGGGCTTGATCCCGGGACCATGACCTGAGCTGAAGGCAGACGCTTAACGACTGAGCCACCCAGGTGCCCCTTCTAGGCAATATTCTTGTTAAAAATTACCTCCTTCTTTTAATGGTCTTTATCAATCCTTTGCCATTCCTCTTAGCTACTTGATTCTTTTTTTTTTTAAGATTTATTTATTTATTTTAGAGGGAGGGAGAGTGTGCACAGGCGGGGAGGGGTGGAGGGAGAGAGAGAATGAGAATCTTAAGCGGACTCCACGCTGAGTGCAGAGCCTGACATGGGGCTTGATCGAAACCAAGAGTCAGACACTTAACTGACTGTGCCACCCACGTGCCCCCTAGCTTACTTGATTCTCAAATTTTGGGAGAAATCTCAGGATGCTGTCTTAGGCCCTCCTCTTTTCTCATTCTACATGCTTCCCTTGAGTGATCACATTTATTCCTTAAGGTATTAACTACTTCTATACTTAATGACTTCCAAATTTATATCTGTAGTCCAAACTTTTCTCCCCAAGTTACAACCACATATCTAATTCCTTATGAGACCTCTCCATTTGGAAGTCTTGTGCAACATCAAAATTACTATACATAAAATTGAACTCCTCTTTCTTCCCAAACCTGATTTTACTCTAGTGTTTCTACCTCAGTAAATGAGGCACTTTTATATCCACCCAGGCATTTAAATCAAAATCTAGCAGTGACCTTTATTCATCCCCCACCCTCATGTCTTCATCCAATCCCCAATCTCACAGAGAATTCCTGAATTAGTCCACTATTCTTCATCCTTGCTAAAACACCACCCATGCTACCCTGGATGACCTCAACAGCCTCTAAAAGATTTTAAGGATTGTAACCACCATTCTGAGGTCACAGAGATCTTTAAAAAATGCACATACAATTATGTCACTCCCTTACCTTTAATGTCTTCTGCCACCTTTAGGTAAAGCCTCCATTTTTTTTTAAAAGATTTTATTTATTTGACAGAGAGAGACACAGCGAGAGAGGGAACACAAGCAGGGGGGAGTGGGAGAGGGAGAAGCAGGCTTCCCGCTGAGCAGGGAGCCCGATGCGGGGCTCGATCCTAGGACCCTGGGATCATGACCTGAGTGGAAGGCAAATGCTTAACAACAGAGCCACCCAAGTGCCCCAAAGCCCAAAATTGTTAACATGGTTTGAAATAGCTAGTGTTTAGCTCTGTAACTTCATCCCCCAGCACCCTCTTCCTTGTTTTCTACTCAAACCAGACTAACTTTTCTTTAGTTCAAGTATACAGTCTTCTTTTTTATCACCAGGCTTTCTAACATGCTATTATTCCCTCTGTTCAGAACAATTCTGCCTGCTCTCTTCTTATAATTCCGATTTCTCTTTCAGGTTTTCAACTTACGTATCACTTCTACAGCAACTCCTTTCCTGTCCCTAAAATTTGCCTCCACAGCACACTATATTTCCCATTCCATTAAGTTATCACACTTGTAAATTATTTGTTGGCATTTCTGAGTTTCCTTTGAGCCATACCATAAGTTCTTTGAAGGCAGGGATAGTGTGAATCTCATACACCATAGTGTCCCAACTACCTGGCATAAGGATTTCAAGAACTGAAAAGTACGGTGATATCGTTAAACAGAAATGGAGAACTCAGAAGGTAGAGTGAATCTGGGAAGCCCAGCAAAATAATGTGGGGAATAAAAAAAGAGTCTGGTGGGGCTCCTGGGTGGTTCAGTTGTTAAGCGTCTGCCTTTGGCTCAGGTCATGATCCCACCAGGGTCCTGGGGTTGAGTCCCGCATTGGGCTTCCTGCTCGGCGGGAAGCCTGCTTCTCCCTCTCCCACTCTCCCTGTTTGTGTTCCTGCTCTCGCTCTCTCTCTCTGTCAAATAAATAAATAAAAACTTTAAAATAAAAATAAAAATAAAAAAGAAAATAAAAAAAGAACCTGGTTATTTATATAACCTGTGAAAGACAAACTGGGGAATCAAGTAATATCAATTCCACCTTTAAGCTACAACAATTTTAATAATTTTTTAATTTTTAAGGGATTAAAATCTTAATTATTACAAGTCCACAAATGATAAAGTAAAAAAAAAATCTAAGAATGGTTAGCTTATTCAATATTTTCAATTAAAGTTCATTTAACACTCAACAAAATATTCCCTAGGTACCTAATGACAAGGATAAGACTATGCTATACACTAGGCAATGATTAGTTTTTAAAGATTAATTTTCAAAGATTATTTAATGACTATTTCTATTAAATACATATATAGAAATGGTGTCATATTAATTAAACGACAGGCTTTGGAGTTAGTTTGCCTTGGATCCAAATACTGTTCCACTACTTACTAGTCATATGATCTTGGGCAAATTACTTCTATTCTTTCTCCTTTATTTCCTCATTTATAAAATGAGGATAGTAATAGAATCTGTTGCAAAGGGCTGTTTTGAGTATTAGATGAGTTAACGTGAAAATTACCTGGCCTAATACTTGATACACAATGACTACCCAAAGAGTGTTAGTAGTTATCATGATACTTATATGGTATAATTCAAAACTTAAGAACATAAAGTAGAACATTTCCTTCAATAAATAATAAAGTTTGGTTCTATAGTCTTGCCAGAGTGAAGGTAGAGAAATAAAGGAAATAAAGGCATAAAGAGAAATGAAGAGACAAATTCAGAGAAACACAGAAATAAAAAGAAATCCTAAAAGGAGAGGAAGAAACACTGGTGAAAAAGTACAGCTGTGTTTTATAAAAGCTTAAGTAGGTACCTGACAACGGGAAGGAAGTGCCTCATTTCTGATTTACAAGTTTTGTTGTTAAACAGAATATAATTCAAAAAGATTTTACAATTATTTTCAGAGAAGGAAAACATAGGACTAGTGCTACATGTAATAATATAAAATATAACAGTCTTCAACAAGTATTGGACAGGATAAAATTTCTATGGGAGCCTCAATTTTTAAAAATTATTTGTATTCTGTTAATAACCTGTGTAATAGAGAAACTAAAAAGTGACCAATTGGATTTCTAGAGAGCCTCTTTTGTGCAAAATCTTATGTGCATGTGCTCTAACTTTTTGTTCTCTTGGTCCAAAACAATGTTCCTAAACCTTTTATTTCCTTAGAAATAGATGTCCTTTCTCTTTAGAGAAAGATCAGACTCTCACTACAAAATCTCAGGTATAGGGAGAAGAGAAAGCATTTCTGGATTTCTGGGAGGGGAAAAAGATCTGATTCTAATTTTGGCTATCTTCTAGTAACTTTGGGCAAACCAACTAGGAAAATAAAATGATGTAAGTAGTTTTAATTAGTCTAGTAATCCTCGCTCTTTCCAGAAAAAGTGTCAACCAGTTACGTTACATATGTTATACCGCAAATTTTTTTTTAAAGTATCAACTGATAATTATATGCAGGATAAGTTTAGTTTACATTGCTAATTAATCTTTGTGGCTAAATCTGTTATAACTAAAAGAGTAAACTAGAAAACAAACTCTCAGACCATATTAAACATTTATTTTCAAATATTAGACTGCAAACACTCTTTACCTCAAAGTCATCGTCATCTCCCTCAGTGTAATGTGCATGGTTGTCTGGATTATTCACTTTGTCCAACAGCTCAACTGCTAGGGCCCTAGAGAGACCTGGCTGCCCTACAAACGTATGCTAAGTCAAAACAAAACAAAGTTTCATGAGTATGCTTTTACATCAGTGGTTTATAGAAAATGTTATTTGTACTTTTTCATTCAGTTAACTATCAGAGACAAGCATATGGGAGCCTACTAATACAAATAAATTAGAGAATGTATTAGTAAAAATATTAATCAGAGAATCCATAATTATATATTATCAAACTAAAGCACCCTTGTAGAGTAAGTTATAACATGAATAATTTTTCTAAGTTATCTGATCTACATTAGGTGTAAAATTACAATGTTGGCTATAACAACTAGACATTCAATACTCATGTCACTATAGTGATATATGCAAATGAAAACTGAGGTACAGTCCATATCACAGTAAGAAAAAAGCATTTGTATTCCAAATTTGCATACATTTAATTCAGTAACATTATATAAATGTACAAAGATACATAATTCAATTTTGACATTTAAATAGTTTCCTTAGACTGTTGTAATCATTGACTTTCTAATATAAAAGTATTCTACAAATACATATACACACAGAGCATTCTATAAATTTACATAAGAAACCAAGAAAGATGATAGCAACATTTTCAAGCGTTTTCTCTAAGGCAGGGGTTGGCAAACTAAAGCCGATGGGCAAAATCTGGGGCACTGCCTCTTTCTGTAAATCAAGTGTTGAGTATTAAAGCCATACCCATTAGAGTATACTGTCTATGGTTGCTTTCCTGCTTCAGTAGCAAAATTTAGTAGCTGCAAAAGAGACTGTGTTGCCCCAAAGCCTGAAACATTTACTATCTAAGCTCTTCACAGAAAGTTTGCTGACCCCTGCAGTAAGAGATCACTAAATTTTTATATTAAAAATCCTAAATACTTTTGTTCAAGTGATAGGCCTACTTACTGCATGACTACAGAAAATTCCCCTATAATTTAAATTGACTTACAGTCAGAAGTCTTTCAGCGGTTGGTCTTTTTTTGGGGTTTTTGGTTAGTGCTATTTTGACAAAATTATGGAATGTTGATGACCTTCAAATAAAAAGAGACATGTACAAAAATATTTCACTAATATTAGTTTTTTGGTGTTACTAAATAAAACTAATTTACAAGCACTTAGGAAGTCTGAAACACATGATTTTTCTCTGAGGCCTCTTAGCTCCATATAAGCCAAAACACAAAACCCAAAGCATAGTATATTCCTTGAAAACAGGTGTCAGTTTCATCTGTAAGTAAGATGACATTAGTTGACAAAACAGTAACATATAACCTCTAAAAAATACACTAAAAACTAGAAATGGGCAGCTGCGTCATTTGTAGGATTTATAATCTTGTGTTCTAGGTGCCACTTGGGAATCAAAATGGCCTTTTCTTGTTGCTTAAATTTATATAATATATGTTTTCCTATACCAGAAGAATGGCACGGAGGTATGGTAGGTAATGTAAAAGATTATCTAAACCTTTATAGGATCACTGAATTTCTTAGGAATAAGGGCAACCACATAGCAGTTCTCTTGCAGAGAAATCAAATCACTGCATTATATTTGGTGACTTGTGGTGGGGATAACAGAGTCAGAGTACCCTGAGACTGGCACAGGTACTCCCAACGGCGCCAACTGCTCTGGAATCTGACTGTGAATTTAGCCATAACAGCTAGTAGTCATTCATTCCTGAATGAATATCCCGTCACTTCTGCCATAGAGTCCTCCAGTTCCAGTTGCTTAGGAGCTTAGGGTAACAAGGATTAGGAAGAAACCCATATCACCACAAAAGAATAGAGCCACAGTAGGATATAAACTCCTTTATTTCCAGTGTGATTTTCCCTTCACTCCTGGCATCATCCCCAGAATGGCCTGGCTCCTAAGTAACACTTTGCACAGACAGGCCAGTAAAACATAAAACAGTAGTTCAGAACCTGTTTTGGGGATAGGCTTCTTAAAATCTGAAACAAGATATGGACTGTCTCCCTACAAGAATGAATATATACACAGAATTTGGGGAGCCCACGGGTCTCCCCCCATAAGAGATCCATTAAATCTAGATGAAGAATTCCTGAATTTAAGAACTTGGAAACTTTTATTTGCATGGTTTCTTTTATTAAATGTATGGGAAAACATTACCAGAAAAATAATTCTCAATTTTTATCATCCAATTAAAGATGTCCTAATGGACTTTAAGAAGAGGCAAACTGCTTTACTCAGTAAGAGAAAGAAAAGATTAGGATGAAAATAAATATAACCTTTTTGAATATTAGGTAAGGGAGGCAGAAAAAATCAACAATGATAAAGTGTCATGGTACTTGGGAAACCTTTTCATATTACCTTCCATAAAAGTCAACATGTCATTAACAGAAGTAATAGAATCCAAGGCAAAGATATGAATCTCCAAAATTTTAATCTACTCATTTCCAATGGTTTCCTGACCACATCTCTTACCCAAGCTTCTAAAAAACTAAGAAAATGATCAGAGTTTTACCAGAGCAGATTATAAAAATCTTTTGGATTGACATGGGCTTGTTCCTATTCCTCGTTACTCTAAGTTCCTAAGGAACTGGAATTGTCAAGAAAATAACCCATATCCTTGCCATAGCTCTGCAAGTAAATTAGATATATAATTTCAGGTAAACCGTTTAATAGCTCTGGGCTTCAGTTTCATCATCTCTAAGGTAAGGGAACTGAACCTGTCTCCTTTTCATCGGTAAAATTCTATAAATCTATGTAATCTTTAACTTACCATTTTGTTTTGTCCTTTAGTTTTGGAGGCTGAAAATTACTTTTTGACATTAAGAAGAGGGCCCTGGAATAAAAATTTCAGTTAAAGAGCAATACTGAAATACTTTTATTACTTCATCTAATAATCAGAATGAATATTCTGTAATGCATTTATACAAATTAATATGTAGGCACTGACAAAAACCGGTATGGAGTATGGAAATTAAATTTTTAAAAAGATTTTATTTTTAAAAGTTCACCAATAATGTGGTTTTTAAAATAAATAAATTAATTAATTAATTAATTAATGTAATCTCTACACCCAACATGGGGCTTGAATTTGCAACCCTGAGATTAAAAGTTGCATCCTCTACCAACTGACCCAGCTAGGCACCCCCGGAAATTAAATTTTTTATATTTTAGATACTTTATAGAAAACTTCTCCTAGCTATAGAGAGGATATTTAAATTTCAAACTAGCTCTTATTCACAGGGTAAAGCTACCAAATGTTAGAGAAGGGTTTTATTACAATACTGTTAACATATATAGCTAGCATTGTATCTTAGACACAAGTATATATAGTAATTATGTATCATTCTATAATATAGACATGATATGTTACTCTAACATCAGGTTGTATGCTTAATGGAAGATTTGTCTCTATAATTATTTTGGGTATATAGGCAAATTATATCTACTTCCTAGTCTTTTCCCCTCTTTTGGACAATAATTTTCCACATTTTGTCATTATGAATGATGTAGAAGTCAACCTGCTAAGAGGACTTTCTCTATGAATTCACCTTTGACTCATTTTCTAGGGCTGTGGGGGCAGAAGGATGGAAGATTTAAGAAGGAAGTTCTAAAATACTCTATTTCAGTATTTCCTACAAAACCCTTTACAGGTTTCTAAGCAAACTCCGTGGTCTTTTTTTTAAATACCAAAGATATTTTATCTTTTTAAAAATGAAATTCCGATATAAAGTTTATATTCCTACTACCCTGAGACATTATTTCAAATCTTCCGCTCTTCTTTAGTCTTTATATAACCAATTATTATATTAGGTAATATTATATTGTTTTTTCACTAATAATCAATTTTCCATGTTGCTTTGGTTTATACATATGTAACAGCTGCCCTTAACTGCTAAAAAAATTTGCTTAACAATTCACCAACTAAAAGAAAAAAAAATTAAAAAAAAAAAACACACAACTTAGCAGCTATTGCACATTTAGATTTTTTTCCATTGTTAACATGCAATGGGTAATTCTTAGCTTTTCCTTTTCTTGGATTATCTCCTAAGTGTAATTTTCCAAGTAGTAGAATCAATGAAACATTTGTACTGCCCATAACAAGCAACATCAAATTATTTTCCTGAAGGTCTCTACTTTTACTGGCATTCCAGCTAAAAGTAGGTATCTTTTAACTTGTGCATCTTTGGTTACTTAGGAGGTCAAATAGTTTTCCAAGTTTCTTTGTATGTGGTACTTACTCATAAACAATCTATCTTTTGCCTATACAGTCTCTAAATTAATTCTTTATGTAATATACACTAATCCGCTATCATGTTAGGACACTTTCCCCACTCTGTTTTCTTTCCAACTTTCTACTATTTAACAGTTCAAATTTTAGCTCAATTTATATTTTCCTTCAAATTATTAAAAATCTTTTCAAAGATTTTTTTTTCTGACAGACAATATGCCCTAAAACGTAAATAATAATTACGCTAAGCATAGCTACCTCTTCACCATCCCTTGACAAAAGAAAAAGAAACAAAACCAAAAAAGAATAGAAAAAAAAATCTCATCTACATCCTTTATCATTTGCTTATAATTCTCCTTAGAACAGAAAAAGAAACAAGTTTAGCTGATGAAAGAATGAATGTAAAGACTTAAAAAAACTTTTTAAATGATAACTGCTACGTGCTAGTATGATTAGTAAAGATTTGTTGTATGGAAAAGTTTCAAATAGTACTGATGATTCACTCCATGCTGCCTTAGGAACAGCAATAAAAGAGAGCAGGTATTGGGTGCGATTGATTACCCGTAGGTCCCTTACAACACCTTTACTATTTTGCCAGATTTGAAAATGAGCTGGGAACACCCAAGTTATCAATATTTCATTCTCCTCGAAAGCTTTATTAATAACTGTATAATTGTAGAGAGTGAGAACACCTCATTGGATGAAGATCAAACATAGGCGGTTGAAGTTCTCCAAGTTCAATCGCCGTTATTCCCACTGCCCAGATATCACAGAGCTGGTTGTAGCCACCATTCTTTTCTACTGCTGCAACTTCGGGGGCCATCCTAGGAGGAACCAGTGAGTATAACATCTTTAGTTTTTAAAAAATGATAGGAAATCTGTTATGTTTTGTTATATTTTTGTTATATTCACTAAACTAGAGGGAAAGAGGCTGACAGATTTTACTGGGAAAGAGTTAGTAAAGACAACATACATACAGATATACTCTTTCAAAATTCATTATTTCAAAATCTGGGATCTTCTCTGAAGACGTGCGCTCTGAGGAAAAATTGTGTTGTCTTACTTTAGTTTCTGTTTTGTGAATTTTGTCATATAATACGGGAAAAGAAAAGAATACCTAAATCCCCATGAAATGTTCCCAAAGGAGGTGAGAATGAATCAGCAGAGAGCTACAGCAGGGTGAAGAGTCTCAACATTTCAGAGGACACAAGTGCAAATGCAGAGAGACCAGAGAACACGGAACACCTGGCAAGGTGATAGGACAGTGCTCCTCAGTGTATGATCTAGAGCCTTCCCTGGAGCCATAAACTGCTTGTTATGAGTCTATTATAAGTACAGGAATTGGGAGTATTAACTCTTGTCCAAATACATGATCATTTTTTAGTAATTCATTTCTAACTTATTTTATAAAAGTATCAGTCTGTCATGAGCAGGAAATTTTAGAAAATTGGTCGTTCACCACAGGTAGTTTGAGAGGGTCTAAAAAGTATTTGTAAAATGAACCTCAGAAGTAGGAGCTAAATAATGAATAGCCTACTGATTATATAAGGAAGTTTAGACTTTATTGTGAAAATGGGGTAATTCTGGGGGGTAAACTTGATCTAAAACTCATGGCAACGTGAAGGACCGTATGAGAGGAGGTAAAAACAGAGTAGGGTGAATGAGTTGGAAGACTATTTCAAAAATACAAGGGAAAAAAGATAAAGGACTTTTCAAATGCAGTGGCAGAGGGGACTGAATGAAAGGGGTTGACTGAAGAGACTGATTTGAGTGAAAAATGCTTGTGGATATTAGAGTAGAGCTATTATCGAACAACTGTGGAATATATCTAAGATTGAAGGTCAATTTAGTAGCTGAGCTGGAGTTATTTGTTTGGGATTCAGTAGTATATAATAATGGCATTTGAAGTTATAAAGTATAAATATTACTGGGGGAAATACTCTTTTTTAATGTTTACTATTTTAAAATTAATTTATATTAAATATCCATAAGGTAGAAGTTGCTTTTATTTTTTATTTTTTTTAAAAGATTTTATTTATTGATTTGAGAGAGAGAGTGAGCATGAGTGCAGGGGAGGAGCAGAAGGAAAGGGAGAAGCAGAGTTTCTGCTGAGTAGGGAGCCTGATGCAGGGTGCGATCCCAGGATCCTGAGATCGTGACCGAGTCGAAGGCAGAAGCTTAACTGACTGAGCCACCCCTGGAAGTTCCCTTTATATGTACTTAGATTACAAAAAGTTACATAGCACAATGTCTCTCAACTTAAAAGTGGTTAAGGATATAAAATATGTATACTAAAAATGCTGATATGTAGATGTACCTGTTATATGCAAGTACTATGTACATAAAAATGGATATAGGAGTAAAGAGAAGAAGATAATCACTACTATGGAACAAAATGACTAAAGGCAAGTTCACATAAGTCGAGCTGGAGTTCTGCCCACCAGAACCAGTTAGTAGTGGGTAAGTGGAGCACCAAGATGACCAGGAGTGTTGTAGTTCCTGGCGCAGTGGGAAGCAGAGCTGTGATCTATCAGTTTACCATGAGTCAAGAAAGGCAGAGTATGTGCCACTTTTAAGACAAGGCATGACTTAAGATAAACAGAGAAGATGGATATACTAGGGAGGTAATAATACCTAATATAGTCAGGGTACAAAAAACAAATTTTGACTACAGAAGAATGTTCACAGGGGAGGACAATCACAGAAAGAGATTGAGGAAGGAAATAGGCATATGATGAAGGAAATTCTATAGGTAATCTAACTTAGCTATGTTTTCTTCTAACTTATTTAAGTGATACTTATTGGGCCTTTATTTTTCCTGTTGTTATAATTGATAAGTGTTGACAAAGAGAATTTGGAATATATGGAAGAAAACGAGTCAAACATTATCCCACTCAAAGACAGCCACTGTTTCACACATTTACATCCATAAATTTTACTTACACATGTATCTTCTTTAACATGGCATTATATTATGCTTTTAATCTTACATATGCTATTTTTAATCTTGATTTTTTGAATAACAGTACATCATGAACCTATCCACTGACCATCTTTTAAAACAGGATTGATTGATTGATTACAACAGGATTTTTAATACCAGCAATTTATTCCATTGATCTGAATAAACGTAATTTCCTTAACTAATTCTTCTTGCATGTGCAAACCTTCTCTCAGTCTTTCATTATTAAAGTACTGCGATAAAGCTCTTCATATAATAATCTGTGTCTCTCTGATAAATTACTACAAGCAGAATTCAGACTAAAAAAACATAAACACTGTTAAAGGTTTTTGAAAAACATTACTGCCAAATTATCCTTCAGAACTGTTCTACCAATTTCCACTTTCACTGTCAAATATTTAGTGACAGTGATAAGTATTACTCATGATTCCAAATATTTTCCAATTTGGAGAAAAGAATGGTGTTGTTCATTTAATTTACATTTTTGGTCATCATTAGGGGAAACATTTTTCATATTTCACATCTTATATGTATTATTTTAATAACTGCTTCTAATGAAATACTTTTATTGACTTATTAAGAAGTTATATATTAAAGGTATTAAAACCTATTTTGTCATATTTTAGTGGATATTTCCTGATTTATTTGCCTTTCACTTTTGTTCAACCTAGTGTTCAACTTTAAATTCTCATGTAGTTAAATCTATCAATTTACCCTTTAATGTTTTATGCTTTTATGCCAAGAAAGGCTTACTCATTTTTTTTTAAGATTTTATTTATTTTATTTTAGAGAGAGCGAGCGAGTGAGCAGGAAAGGGGCAGAGGAAGAGAATCTGAAGCAGATTCTGTGCTAGGCATGGAGCCCAATAAGGGGCTCGATCTCATGACCCTGAGATCATGACCTGAGCCGAAATCAAAAGTTGGATGCTTAACTGACTGAGCCACCCAGGCACCCTGGCTTACTCAACTCAAAGCAGATAGTCACTGATAGTTCATTTGGTTTCACTTTTATATTTAACTATTTCCATACACAATTTATTTTGGCATTAGGTATGAGGTATAGAGCGACTTTAAATTTCTTTCCAAATAGTAAGTTACCCAAACACTGATATTAAAAAATCCAACCTTTCATACAATCTTTGTCACCTTTATAACATTCATTAAATTATTTTACATACTAAGGTTTACTACTAGGTATTCTGTTATATTTCAATTATCTATCTTCATTGATGAAAGCAGTGTTTTAGAAAGATCATTTTGTCAGTACTTGGTAAGATGCATTGAGGAAGGTGGCTGGTGCATGCATGAATTTTAAACAGCCAGAAAGTGAAGACCTGGATTAAAATAGAATCAATACCAAAAGAAGGCTAGTAAAATGACAAGAGATTATAAATAAGAGTCTTTCTTTTGAAAAACCCCATACTTATGAGTCCTCTTAATACAAAATCCCAGGGACAACAGGAATTATTAGCTCTTTAATACAGGGAAAGCTGGACAATAAAAATGGGTATCAAAGTTCCCTAACCCAATCAGAAGTATGAGAGTATCAAGGAGCATGCAAATTTCCAGACTTTCAGTCAACCGTCAATTGTATCACTAAGTATCTATGCTGATCACCAACTCTGAAGAAATGAAAATGCACAAAATCTAATCATAATAATATCTTACCAGTAGGGAGTGCCAATGAAAGATTTTCTCTTTGCAATGGTGGCTGTTATTTTCGCAGCCACGCCAAAGTCAGCTAGTAAGGAAAAAAATTGAATAAAAATTTTAGTTCTTTCAATAAAGTTACCCACATTTCTAAATTTCACCCTTAGGCATGGCATTATTAAGAATTCAGACAGTAATGCTAAGGAAATGTATATAAAATGAATACCTAAATATTTTCTTGCTTAGTTTATAACATTCATTGAAGGAAAATCATTTTTTGGCACTTTACTAGAATGAAGCACACTTTATAAAGAATGAAGTTAATAAAAAACTTATAAGCACGATGAAATTAATTAGGAAAAAAAACATAAAAAAATAAACCCCCCCACCTGGATGCCTTTTACTCTAACACAAGTAGGGCAGTATTTTGGTGCTATTAAAGAAAGTCTTTTTTTCTCTATATAAACTTTATTGTTGTTACACATGGCTGTAAAAAACTAAATGTACATATAGTTCATTTTTGTCATTTAACTAACACCTCAGGGAATCTACTCCTGTTCTCCTCAACTATTAATTTTGATGAATGAATAATGTTCCATAAGTGGATTTATTACAGTTTAACAGTTTTTTTTTTTAAGATTTTTTATTTCTTTATGAAAGAGACAGACACACGGGGGGGGGGGGCAGTGAGCACAGGGAGGGAAAGAGGGAGAGGGACAAGCAGGCTCCCCAATGAGCACAGAGCCCGATGTGGGGCTCCATCCCAGGACCCTAAAATCATGACCTGAGCCAAAACCAAGAGCCAGACCTTAACCAACTGAGCCATCCAGGTGCCCCCAGTTTAACAGTTTTTTTACTGCTAGCTCTGTTTGTACTTTTTTCTGTTATAATGTACAATTAATAGTTCTATGAATATAGATTTTTTTCTTTTGGATTAACTTCCTTAAACATTATCTAAGGAGTATAATTACCGGATCAAAACATGAATATTATTGAGGTTCTCAATATGACTATTAAGCCTGTATAATGTTAATTCTCATTTAAAATTTTATTAAATCTTTTTGGGAAAAAATGTGAGGAACTTGAAATAACATACCTAATTTTACATCACCATGATCTGTCAATAAAATGTTTGCACCCTAAAACAAAAATATAAATACTATTAAATTACCATCATAAAACTCTTTCAGATAAAATTATCAATTTAAGCATATTAAATTAACTTACTTTGATATCCCTATGCATTTTGCCTTTTGTATGCAAATAGGCAAGACCCTGAAGTTAAAAAAAAAAAAGTATGCATTAGCAAATTGCAAACTTAACACCTACATTATCTTTTTTTTAAGATTTCTCATTTGAGAGAGAGAGAGAGAGAGAGAGAGAGAGAGAGAGAGAGAGCACACGCACTAGGGGCAGAGGAAAGAATCTTCAAGCAGTCTCCTGGCTGAATGCAGAGCCCATTACGGGGCTTGGTCCCACAGTCCATGAAATCATGACCTGAGCCAAAAGCAAGAGTAGGATGCGTAACCAACTAAGCCACCCACGTGCCCCAATACCTATGTTTTCTACTTAAATTCTCACCAAATAAGAAAAACTAGAATGTCTTCGGGGGGGGAGGGGGAACCTAGAAGAGTTTCTTTTTACTAATCAATGTTTACTGTATTTTAAGATTTCAAATTCATTTTCTGGTAAAAATCAGAAATATCTTACTGTAAAACCATCACCAAGATAACGAACATATCCATTACCCTCAAAAGTCCCTCTTACACACAAACACAGATCTGCTTTCTATCCCTACAGATTTAAATTTTCTAGAGTTTTAGATAAACTGAATTATATAGTATATTCGTTTTTGTTTGGTCCCTTTCATTTACAATAATTAATTTGAGATTCCTTGTTAATGTGTATATCAATAGTTCATTCTTCTTTATTTTTGAGTAGTATTCCATTGTACAGATACACCGAATTTGTTTACAAATCCACCTCTTGATAGACATTTGGATTGTTGGATTGTTTACAGTTTCTGGCTTTTATAAATAAAGCTGCCATTAAGGTTCATATACAAGTACTAGTATGATTTTTTTTCCCTTAGGTAATACCTAGCAGTGTAATAGCTGAATTATATGGTGGTAATAAATTTAAACTTTTAGGCAAATGCCAAACTGTTTCCCAAAGCAGCTGTACCATTTTATATTAAAACCAGCAGTGTATGAGAATTTCAGTTAATCCATATCCTCACCAACCTTCTTAAGGTCAGTTTTTTTAATTTTAGCCATTCTTTGGTGAAGTGTCTGTTTTCTTTTTTTAAGATCCAAGTGACTTTATTAAGCAAGATTCACAAGTTGGGCAGCATCCCATCTATCAAGTAGAGTTCCAAGGAGTTGTACAAAATTTCTAGGAAGGAGGGTGGGAAAAGAAGTTATTAATAGAAATGATTGTTTCAGGCAGGGTCACCTTCCCGTAGGGGGAAGGGCAGGGGTCTTATTAGGTGGGGGGATGGAGAGGGTCCATGTGACAGATTCCTCACTGATGCTGGTCAGGAATTTCCCGACCAGCATCAGTGAAGTGTCTGTTCAAATCTTTTGTCCATTTGTTTATTGGGCTCTTGTTTTTTTATTACTGACTTTTGAGAGTTATTTATGTACTCTGGATACAAGTTCTTGATCACATATACACTTTACAAATATCTTCTTCTAGTCTGCAGCTTCTCTTGTCATTCTCTTACCAGTGTCTCTAGAAGAATGGAAGTTTTCAATTTTAATAAAGTCTGATTTACCAAGTTTTTCTTTTATGGATCATGCTTTTCATGTTATGTCTGAAAATGCTTTGCTTAATTCAAGACTGCAAAATTTTCTCTTGTTTCCTTCTAGCAGTTCTAGTTTTAGGTTTTAATATTTAGGTCTATGATTACTTTTAGGTTTTTACATATGATATGAAGTACAGCTTAAGGTTCATTTGTTGGCGTATGGATGTCCAATTATTCCAATCCCATTTATTGAAAAGTCTATACTTTCTTCACTGATTTGTCTTTTCAACTTTGTTAAAAACCAGCAGTCCATTTATGTGTAGATTTATTTCTGGTCTTTCTATTCTGTTCCAATGAGCTACTTTCCTACTCTTATGCCAATGCCACTATGTTTTGATTAATACAGTTTTGTTAAGTCTTAAAATTGCTGCTGGCTCTCAAATTTTTGTTCCTTTTTAAAATTGTTTGACTATTCTAGATTCTTTGTATATCCACAGTAATTTTAGAATGAGCTTCTCCATTTCGAAAGAAAAAAGTGCTTCCGTGGATTTTGTTTGGGATTGTACTTAATCTATAGGTCAACTTGGGGAGAACTGACATCAGAACTATTGTTGAGTCTCCTCATCCATGAATATGGTACAGTTCTCCATTTACTTAGGTCTTCTTTATTTTTTCTTAGCAGTTTTGTAGTTTTTAGTATGCAGGGATTTATGTATCTTTTGTCATACACATTCCCTTAAGAATGTCATATCTTTTGTTACCATTATTATAAAAGTTCTGATCATCTGTTGCTAGGGTACAGAAATCCAATCAATCTTGTACATGGATCTTGAATCCTGCAAACGTTTTAGCCTCACTTATTAGTTCTAGAAGCTACTTTGTAGATTCTATTCCATTTTTTATATAAATAATTATGTGGTCTGTGAATACAGTTTTACTTCTTACTTTCTAATCTGGATGCCTTTTATTTTTTTTCTTATTGCACTGGCTGAAACCTCCAGTACAATGTTGAAAAGAAGTGATGAGAGCAGACATTCTTGCGCTGTTTGACTGATTGGTGGGAAAGCATATGGTATTTTACCATTAAACGTGATTTAGTTGTAGGTTTTTCATAGGTGTTCTTTATCAGGTTGAACAAGTTACTTTCTATTCCCGGTATGCTCAGAATCTTTATCAGGAATAAATGTTGGATTTTCCTAAATGCTTTTTCTAGGTCTATTTAAGATGATCATGTGGTTTTCTCATTTTGTTTGCTAATATGGTTAATTACTTGAAGTAATTTTTGAGTGTTAAATCAAAATTGCATTCTAGGATAAACCCCACTTATTGATGATGTATTATCTTTTCAAATATGTTGTTGGATTACCCTTATTCACCTCTTATTTTCCTCTTAAAGTTTTGCATCTGTACTTATGAAGGATAGTACTGGTCTATAGTTTTGTTCTCTTGCAATATTATTTGATTTTGGTTTTGGAGAAATGCTGGTCCATAAAATCATTTGGGAAGTATTCATTCTTTACTCTTCAATTTTCTAGAAGAGTTTCTGTAGAATTGGCATTATTTTTTCCTTAAATGTTTGGTAGAATTTATCTATCCATATCATCTGACTTGGAGTTTTCTTTGTGGGAATATATATAAAGAAGAATTCAGATGATTTCTGACTGAGTGATCTTTGGTAGTGTCTCTCAAGGAAATTGTTATTTTTTTCCAAGTTGTAGGCTTTACTGGCAGAAAGCTATTCATAATATTCCTTAGGTACTAAGCATCCTTGTTATTATTTCAATATTTGTAGATTCTGTGGTAATATCTTCATATTCATTCCTTTTATAATTTTTTATTTTCTCTTAGAGGATTATCAATTTTATTGATCTTCTCAAAGAATCAGATTTTGGTTTTATTGCCTTTTTTCATATTTTTCTGCTATTTCATTGATTTCTCACTCTTTATTATTTCCTTTCTCTGCTTACTTTGCATTTAATTTGATTTTTTTCAGTTTTTTTTTTTCAAGATTTTATTTATTTATTTGAGACAGAGAGAATGAGAGAGAGAGAGCACATGAGAGGGGGGAGGGTCAGAGGGAGAAGCAGACTCCCCGCTGAGCAGGGAGCCCGATGCAGGACTCGATCCGGGGACTCCAGGATCATGACCTGAGCTGAAGGCAGTTGCTTAACCAACTGTGCCACCCAGGCGCCCTTTTTTTCAGTTTCTTAAGGTGGAATTTGAAGATGTTAATTTTAGACCTTTTTTCCTTTCTAATAGAAGTGATCAGTACTATAAACTTCCCTCTATGTATTGCTTTAGGAATACCCCACACCTTCATGTGTTTTCATTTTCATTTGGTTCAAAATACTTTTTAGTTTCTCTTCTGATTTCTTCTTTGATCCATGGGTTACTTAACAGTGCTTTATTTAGTCTCCACATATTTGGAGATAGTCCAGAAATATTTCTGTTAATTTTTAATTTAATGCAATGTGGTCAGAGAATATACTTTGTATGATTTAAATCCTTTAAAATATATTGAAACATATTTTATAGCTCAAAATATGGTCTATCTTGATAAATGCTCTATGGGCACTTGAAAAGCGTATGTATCACACTGTTGTTAGACTAAAATGTCAGTTAGGTCAAGCTGATTGGTTTTATTGATTTTCTGCCTACTTGGGCCACAGAATTATTGTGAGAGGGGTATACCTGATTATAACTGTGTGTTTGTCTATCTTCCTTATAATTTTATCAGTTTTTGCTCATTTATTTTGAAGCTGTGTTATTGGGGGCTCAAGAATTTAGGGTTGTTACATCTTTTGACGAAGTGGCCCTAGAGAAGTAGTAGTTTGCTCTAAAGTCTACTTTGTCTGATATTAATATGGCCACTCCAGCTTTCTTTTTAATAGTATCATATATCTCTTTTTTTTTTAAAGATTTTATTTATTTATTCATGAGAGACAGGGAGAGAGAGAGAGAGAGACAGGTAGAGACAGAGGGAGAAGCAGGCTCCCTGCTCAGCAGGGAGCCAGATGAGGGACTTGATCCCTGGACTCTGGGATCATGACCTGAGCCGAAAGCAGACGCTTAACCGTCTGAGCCACCCAGGTGCCCTCATATACCTTTTTCTTTTCTTTTGACTATTTGTGTTTTTATAAATGTACATTTCTTATAGGCAGCATCTAGTTGGGTCTTACATTTTTCCATTCTGACAGTCTCTGCTTTTTTATTTTTAAAAAAAATTTTATGTAATAAAAATTATATGTAATAAGATATACAGTATGATGATTTGATATATATATATATACACACACATAGTGAAATGATTACTTGAGTCAAGCTAGTTAACATCATATCATCTCTTCATAGTTACTGGTTTGTTTTTTGTTTGTTTTTTTAACGAGCACCTGAAATTTACTCTCTTAACATATTTCCAGTATTCAGTACAGTATTATTAATATAGTTGTCATGCTGTACATTAGTCATCAGTCAATCTACATGGCTTGAACTTTATAGTCTGACCAACATCTCTCCATTTCTCGCCCCTGACCCTCAAGCTCCTGGTAATCATCATTCATTCCACTCTCTGCATCTATAAGTTCAACTGTTTTGGATTCTACATATAAGTTACTTATGCAGTCTTTGTCTCTGGTGCCTGGCTTATTTCATTTAGTATAATGTCCTACAGGTTCAAATATGTTGTCACAAATGACAGGATTTCCTTCTTTTTATGATTAAATAATATTCCACTGTATATATACACTATACCTTCTCCATTCATCTGTCAACAGACACCAAAGGTGGAAGTTTGTCAGCATAACAGAATTTCAAAATTGGAACTAATCTTGGAGGGCATCCTTACCAATGCTCATTTTATACTTAGGGAATTAGAACCATAAAATAGATTGTGGTCATATACCAGGATCAGAATGCAAATTCAAGTTTTCGTTTTGTTTCTTACTTCCATTTAGTACTCTATCCATTACTTAAAGCAATGACTTTTGGAAATTAAAAAAAAAAAATCTGTCAACAATTCTCTGCTATTAGTGTCTGATTAGTTTTGTATTTTATGTGAACACAAAAAGTAGATATCTATGTTATGAGAGTATTACAAAAATATATATATATGACAAATTTACTTTTGTATATTTAACATTCAGATTTTACATGGTATGTATTATAAAGCATGAGGAAACCAACTCTTAGAAATGACTAGAGTTTTCTCTTAAATCAAATCAATCTCTCAGTTTCTAAAATATGGAAAAATAACATACAGAACATCAATTTCACTTCTAAACAAACTACACAATCTAGGAAATGTAGGGATAGAAGCATTAATTAATAATTATCAGTTGTAAATTACTAAAATAAAAAATGTAATCACTACTACTTAATTCCTAATTTAAATGTTTTAAGGGATATGAACAAAATTAATACTTGCTAGCTTTTCAAGGCACTAAAAAAATAAATTGGGAGAAATGCTGCATACTCTATACCTTTATTAAAGGGTCACAATCTAGTTTATTAAAAGCTCTCACAGGTCACTCGGCATCAGGGAAATCCAAATCAAAACCTCAATGAGATACCACCTCACACCCGTCAGAATGGCTAAAATTAACAAGTCAGGGAACGACAGATGTTGGCGGGGATGTGGAGAAAGGGGAACCCTCCTACACTGTTGGTGGGAATGCAAGCTGGTGCAACCCCTCTGGAAAACAGTATGGAGGTTCCTCAAACAGTTGAAATTAGAGCTACCGTTCGATCCAGCAATTGCACTACTGGGTATTTACCACAAAGATACAAATGTAGGGACCCGAAGGGGTACGTGTACTCCAATGTTTATAGCAGCAATGTCCACAATAGCCAGACTGTGGAAAGAGCCAAGATGTCCATCGACAGATGAATGGATAAAGAAGATGTGGTATATATACACAATGGAATATTATGCAGCCATCAAAAGGAATGAGATCTTGCCATTTGCAACGACGTGGATGGAACTGGAGGGTGTTATGCTGAGTGAAATAAGTCAATCAGAGAAAGACATGTATCACATGACCTCACTGATATGAGGAATTCTTAATCTCAGGAAACAAACTGAGAGTTACTGGAGTGGTTGGGGGTGGGAGGGATGGGATGGCTGGGTGATAGACATTGGGGAGGGTATGTGCTATGGTGAGCGCTGTGAATTGTGCAAGACGTTGAATCACAGATCTGTACTTCTGAAACAACGCAACATATTTTAAGAAAAAAGGAAAAGAAGAAGATAACAGGAGAGGAAGAAAAGGGGAGTATGTCAGAGGGGGAGACGAACCATGAGAGATGATGGACTCTGAAAAACAAACTGAGGGTTCTAGAGGGTAGGGGGGTGGGGGGATGGGTTAGCCTGGTGATGGGTATTGAGGAGGGCACGTTCTGCATGGAGCACTGGGTGTTATGAACAAACAATGAATCATGGAACACTGCATCAAAAACTAATGATGTAATATATGGTGATTAACATAACAATAAAAAAATTAAAAAAACAAACAAACAAACAAAAAAATAAAAGCTCTCACAGGTTCTGAAATAAAGAAGTAAAGAAACTTCTGCTTAATACAATATTGACCAAAACTATAAAATGGGGTTCTGCTATCAATGATACTTATTAATAATCACATAGAGCTAGAAGTTCCAGGTAACATTCCAGGTTATGGTTTGCTAATTTATTCTCATTTTGGGAGAAACAGTAAAAGACTTCATGTTTTATGCAAAAGGATTCCTTCTCTTGTCATAAAACTTAAAGGGAAAGACAACTTGTTAGGATTGAGAGGTTTGGTGATTCATCCACAAAAACCAATGCACACCTGTGGTTTTCCTTAGCTCTGCAGCAACTGAGGGCCAAATCTGACAAAATGGAACACCCGACATCACCACTGTTTATATCAGCATCAGCTTAAATGAATTCTTGTGACTCATTCAGAAATAAAGAACCAGACTTGCAGAATTACAATATGAGAGGTTAACAGAAAAATCATTTGGTTTACTCTTTTTCTTTAGGGCATATCATCATTTTATAGTTTTCAATTGTGAAACCAGAACTGCCTTTCTATCCACATAAGCAAAGGTATTACCTGTAAAGTTTCTCTGCACACATAGGCTATTTGCAATTCTGATAATGGCCCAGTAACTAGGAAAAAAGAGACACCACATTGTTATATACTTCAATACAACAGCTTAAAAACGTCTACCGTAAAAATGACAAACTATTATAAAACTTCTGTACATATCATTGGGTGACTTCTCAACATGAGCACACATTGTTCTTGTAATCAGGAAACAAAAAAAAAATTAAGTTGAGAACTTTAAAATGTACTTTAAAAATGGAAGATTTACTCTATAACAACTTTGGTCAGTGAAAATATAAGCACCCATTATGTGCAAAGCATAGTACCAGGCAACATAGGACGTTCTACAGAAAACAATAGACATGATCTTAATTCTGAAAAATTTTTCTAAAATAAAGCCAAGAAATGAGATAAACATATATAATTAATTACAGTTATATAAAGTAGAGAACTGTAAGAGATCGATTGTTGAAATATATTGAAAGGCAGCATATACTGTATTTTTCAAAATAGGAAGGCTTGATCCAGCACCTTATCTAAGAATTTAAAACGTAACCAGGTAACTTTTTTTTTTTTAAAGATTTTATTTTTATTTTAGAGAGAGTGTGTGTGAGCAGGGGAGGAGTAGAGGGAGAGGGAGAGAGAGAATCTCTGGCAGACTCCTCGTTTTATTTTAGAGAGAGAGAGAGAGAGCATAAGCAGGAGGGGCAGAGGGAGAGAATCTCAAGCAGACTGTGCGCTGAGCATGGAGCCTGATGTGGGGCTTGATCTTTGAGATCACGACCTGAGCTGAAACCAAGAGTCAGTGGCTTAACCGACTGCCATCCAGGCACCCCTTCTTCCTTTTTAAGATTTATTTATTTGAGAGAGAAAGAGAGAGAGAGAGCGTGAGCTCATGTGCTCTTGGGAGGAAGGACAGGGAAGGAGAATCTCAAGCAGACTCCACGAGCATGGAGCCCCATGGGACGGGGAATGGGGGGGCGGCCTCGATCCCATGACCCATGAGATCATGACCTGAGCCGAAATCAAGAGTCAGATGATTAACTGACCACCAAGGCACCCCCTGGGTCACTTCTGACAACCAGATCTCTATTATAAAATATAAAATCCTTTTGTAAGTACCTAACCAGACACTTAAAAAATAGGCCTTCCAGGAGTGACTGGGTGGCTCAGTTGGTTAAATGTGGGACTCTTGGTTTTGGCTTAGGTAATGATCTCTGGGTCTGAGATCAAGCCCCACGCTGGGCTCTGTGGAACTCTCTCTCTCTCTGCTCCTCCCCCTTCTCGTTCTCTCTCTCTTAAAAAAAAAAATGCGTCCAATACCATGAGAATATTTGAAATCCGGGATGGTGTTTGCTGGCAGTGAAACCAAATCAGGTACTTATACATAACCTTCCCTTAAATATTTTACTGCATATTTTAATCACTGGCTCTCCACAGCAATACAGCAACATAAAATTTTGATATTTAGCAACTTGATAGACTAATAATAAAACAAGGGAAGCTGCCTTATTAACAGTTTATTGTAAGTTTAGATATTCTTGATTACTATGCTATCTAGTATACAATACACAGGGATGGATACTTCTTGGATTAATTTTTTTTTTTTTTTTGCAGTTTGGTAATCTAAATTTACTGTATTTGACTGACTTATGGAACATCCCGGACTTGATTTCTTTTCCATCCAAACTTAAAGCATCTACTAAATCAGTACCATTAAAATCATGGTCCACTTCCCAGCAGCAACAGCTTGTAGGAAGTTCATATTCTTCATCCACACCTATACTAGTTTCCTAGGGTTGCTGTACAATTTAACATAAGCTAAATGATTTAAATCAACGAAAATGTATTCTCTCACAGTTCTAAGGGCCAGAGGTTAGAAATCAAGGTGTTAGCAGGACTGTGCATTCTTGGATTCAATTTAATTCAACAAATATCAAGTCTAATAATGGAAAGTAGGAATTTAATAAATAAGATTAATGTCTTAAAACAATTTTTTAATTAATTTTAAAAATTTAATTTAAAAATGCCAGCTATATAGTTTTATTTATCCATATTCTTGAGTTCTCAGTCTGTAAAAGTGTGAATAAAAATTATAATTGTAAAAAAACTTTTCATATAAATGATAATTCTTCATAAAATCAAAGAAAAGAATTTTAAATTGAGTGGCACAGTTGTTTACCAATAATTCTTTAAAATTAACAGTAGGATACAAGAGAACATTAATTCTAGTATGACAGAATACATAAGAAAATGACTAGTGTATAAGAAAATAAAACTTTTAAAAAATGGGATTCACTCTTGTTTTATTTTTTAAGATTTTATTTATTTATTTGAGAGAGTGTGTGTGTCCAAGCACAAGCAGGGGAGAGGGGCAAAGGGAGAGGGAGAAGCAGACTCCCTGCTGAGCAGGGCGCCCAATGCAGGGCTTGATCACAGGACTCTAGGATCATGACTTGAGCAGAAGGCAGACGCTTAACCAACTGAGTCATCCAGGTACCCCTCACTCTTGTTTTAAAAACTCTTTGTAATATTTTGTATATTTGTAATATTTATGTGGTATTAAATATTATTTAAATAAAAAGAGGCAGTGTCCAGAGTTTAGAAATCAGTCACAACTATTTTTTTGTCATGGGTTATGTGACAAAATTAGATTATTATTATATTCATTAATTTATAATTAAATAATACATCAGTACATTTTTATTAGAATTCAAAATTTTACTTATGAGTCCCACCTTATCCTACCCTAGAAGTAATGACTTATCAATGTAGTACATATCCTTTCGTTTTGCTATGCATTAAAATTCACATATAATGTGAATATAAAAAGTTTTATTTTTTAAAGCCTAAGTGTGATTGATTATGCTATACATATTTTCTCTTGATCCAATTTTTCCATTTAAAGAGGCCTTGGAGAGATATATCCAGGTTAGTATAAATGGAGTTACTTCATCTTTTTAAATGCTGCATAGTATTCCATGTTATAGAAGTAGCATAGTTTATTTAATAATTGCTCTACTGATTATTTTAAAAATCTGACCTCTACAAGCTACAAATATTATTTAAACTTGATTAGCACTTCTTTTTACATCTACTATGGTTGTATTTGTAAACTTGATGACTGAAATTTGATAAGACTGTCAATATAAAGATTTCAACCCAGAAATGTTTGAAAGTTTCACAGAATTCTTAATAAATGATACAATGCAAAGCTGCAATGGGAGTTTTACTATTCCATATTCAGTTAAATAAAGAAAAAACACTGTTTTATAAGGATCTCTGCTTAGTCTCATAAACTCTAGAAAATCAGTTAATTGTCAACAACAAAACAAATTGGAAGCTAAATTATGGAGCCAAAATGAAGACTCTTTCTAAATAGTAAAATCTAATTCAACTCAGAAAATGGCCTAATTACCTAACAGAATGCTCAATAAAAAATACTTCAAATGTTTAAAAATTATACATTCTTAATACAAAAATATAGCAACAATTAAACTGCTTTCTTAGTTATGCTAAATGATTTTTAAAATAGATATACAATTTCTTTTATGTGAGAGTTAACCTTTGTATTTCAATTCTTACTTACAAGGAAGTTGGGGCAGTTTCAATTGTAGATAACATATTTTCCTACAGGCTACATAAGATTTCCTAGAGACTACATCTAAAAAGTAAAATTTGGATTGTACAAGAACTCTTGGATTTCTCAGTTCAGGTTTCAGCGAATTTAACTGGATAACCAACAAAAATAAAGTTTAGAGTTCTTGTATGCACTAATACTACAGGAGCAGAATGGAAGAATGTAAAACAGTATATCTACCTACCAATATCCCTGGTTAACTACGAATGATAAAAACAACAATCATTAAAGTCAAAGTCAGTTTTAAAATATAAAGGCAAATTAACAGTACCATGGTAAATATCTTGAAGTGATCCACCACCACAGTATTCCATACAAATCCACAGTTTTTCTCGACTAATATGAAAGAGAAAGAAAATTATATTAGGTAGGAATTCTTAATCACTGAATGCTCTGAAGGCTTTCCCTCTTCAGTACACCAAGGTTTAGAATGGATTACAGGGTGTACAGGAAATTGCCCTGGCAGTCTCTCTTCCAGATACAGAAAAGCATAGAACTTACCGTCTTCAATGGTTTAGAATATAATCAGTTTTACAAGCTAAAACACTTATTTGTAATCATTTATAATATTTATTGCCAGAAAAGATGTAACTGCATAAATGGAGGTGTCACTAATATAGCAGGGGAGACAAAGAAAAACTGAGACAACATAACTTTAAAAATTTGTATATAACAGCATTTACATGAAAAGGAGGGAGAGTGGTAGTAAAGAAGTATAAAATACAAGGAGAGCATATGCTTTGTTTTTTTTTTTTACCTGAGATAGCTCCCAAAGTAGGCAACGATGTTGCAATGTTTACATTCTTTGACCATAAATATTTCTTGTTGAATCAAAGAGAAATCATCTCCTGAAAAACAAAATGATAAAACTTAGACACCAAGTTACATTTTGAGTCTTATATATGGGAAAAAGAAAGGAAAACTTTACAATAAATGTTAGAGATGAGGAATTAGATACTCAATACTTTGGTGGGAATATAAACTAATACATTCTTTCTAAAACACAGAAGCCCTAAAAATATACAAAATCTTTGAACTCATAATGTCACTTAAATTTCTTTTCTGTACAAATCAAAACCTCAATGAGATACCAACTCACACCAGTCAGAATGGCTAAAATTAACAAGTCAGGAAAAGACATGTTGGTGAGGATGCGGACAAATGGAACCCTCTTACACTGTTGGTCGGAATGCAAACTGGTGCAGCCACTCTGGAAAACAGTATGGAGCTTCCTCAAGAAGTTGAAAATAGAGCTATCCTACGACCCAGCAATTGCACTACTGAGTATTTACCCCAAAGATACAAATGTAGTGATCCAAAGGAGCATATGCACCCCAATGTTCATAGCAGCAATGTCCACAATAGCCAAACTATGGAAAGAGCCTAGATGTACATCAACAGATGAACGGATAAAGAAGATGTGGTATATATATACAATGGAATATTGTGCAGCCATCGAAAAAATGAAATCTTGCCATTTGCAAGAAAGTGGATGGAACTAGAGGGTTTTATGCTAAGTGAAATAAGTCAATCAGAGAAAGACCAGTATCATATGATCTCACTGATACGAGGAATTTGAGAAACAAGACAGAGGATCATATGGGAAGGGAAGGAAAAATGAAACAAGACGAAACCAGAGAGGGAGACAAACCATAAGAGACTCTTAATCTCAGGAAACAAACTGAGGGTCGCTGGAGTGGAGGGGAGTGGAGGTGGGTAGGGGGGTAGGGGGGTGGGAGGGATGGGGTGGCTGGGTGATGGACATTGGGGAGGGTATGTTGTATGGTGAGTGTTGTGAATTGTGTAAGACTGATGAATCACAGACCTGTATCCCCGAAACAAGTAATACATTATATGTTTATTAAAAAAATTTTTTTTCTGAAGGAGACTATACAGAGATAAATGTTTTCTACAATGTGACTTAATAATGAAAGAATGATTATAAGTATAAGGGACCATATGGTCCCTCTGCCTCTCCCCACCACTTGTACTCTCTCTCTCTCTCAAATAAACAAATAAAATCTTAAAAAAAAGATTTGGTGGCTGGGTGGCTTAGTTAGGCATCTGCCTTTGGCTCAGGTCATGATCTCAGGGTCCTGGGATGGAGCCTCACATCGGTCCTGGGATGGAGCCTCAGGGTCCTGGGATGGAGCCTGGGATGGAGCCTCACTTCCTGCTCAGCAGGAAGCCTGCTTCTCCCTCTCCCTCTGCCTCTCCCCACCTCCCCTGTTCTCTCTCTCTCAAATAAATAAAATCTTTAAAATATAAATAAATAAATAACTTATGGTACAGTTATACATATAATACAGTTAAAACATGTTTTGATTTGAAAATGTTCATGATATATTAAGTAAAAAAGGGATGTTTTATATATAAGTACATATGTATACAGAAAAAATGTCTCAAAAAACTTATACAATGTTTATGTCTGGGTGGTAAAATTAAAAGTAACTTTGCTTCTTTTTATTTGTATTTTCCAATTTGTTTATTTCAAATCTATTTGAGTTGTTTAACTAGGAAAAGTTATATTAAAATGAAATATTGGGTAGTTATGGGAATTTCATGGTTGTTACGGGAATACCACCTAAAATGATATTGTCACCATCAAACTTCATTTTATATAGTAGTCTTTTTGGGGGGGCCTTTTTCAGTTTTTAATTCCAGTTAGTTAACATACTTTAACTATCTATATTAGTTTTAGAAATACAACAGTGATTCAACAATTCTATTCATTACTCAGTGCTCATCGTAAGTGTCCTCAATCCCCCTTCACCTATTTCCTCCATCCTCCCCCCCCCCCCCCCCCCTGGTAGCCACCAGTTTGTCCTCTATAGTTTAAAGAGTCTGTTTTTTTGTTTCTTTGTTCATTTGTTTCTTAAATTCCACATATGAGTGAAATCATATGGTATCTTTCTCTGACATATTTTGCTTAGCATTATAGTCTCTAGATCCATCCATGTTGCTGTAAAAGGCAAGATTTCACTTGTAAAAAAAATATTTCTTAACTGTCTGCTAGTAGAAGGGGCTCAACGGAGATAATCCAAAACAGATGATGATCTATGTTTCCCATTATCAGTTTAGATAAGTAGGGAGTAGGGAGTAGCTCCTGCAAGTTATAGTAAAAAGCCTGCCCACCTAGGTGTAGAGGCTTTCTTTGTCCACTCCTGGATACCAGAATATGGTTTCTCCTTATATCTTACTCCTCTGCCTGAGCCTTTTCCATTACAGCATTAAAACTGATTTATACATGCTAATCTCCAACAAGCAGGCTAGATTCTAGCCTATCCTTCACTTTACCAGGAAGCCCTGAATTACAAAGGAAAAGAAGAGTAAAGAATTACCTAACTTTGTTAATACATGCTACTCTTTGGATTTCATCTTACTCTCACTTTTAAATGTACACAGAAGTCATATCTGAGCTGTGCTAAAAAATGCTCCAGTTAACTCTGGGATTTAGAACAGATTTTCTCACAGGAGTAACTTCACAAATGATGTCTAACTTCTTAATGGTGTCTAAATTCTTAAACTGACCTTTAAAAGCCAATAATATGGCTGAATTAATGCTAATAACAAACCACTACTTCCTGGGGAAATTTAGCTGAGTTCCTCCCCCCCCCAACTGTGGTTCCAGCAGAAGCTACATGAGGTTTCTGCCAGAAAAGGTGGGGTCTTGCTGAGACTGAGCAACAGTTTTCTACAGCTGTAGCTGGAAGCTAGAGTTCACAAGAACAGGTCATAAATAACTCAGATGTTTGGGGACTGTGCCTTCTTTGATATACTTAACTTTGTGAATGAACTCCAGTTTCAAATATATTCTTCATATATCTGTTTCACCATTGTCTTAAGCTTTAATCCAAAGCGGGTAGAATGTTCTTTGAATTGAAACTGTACCATGGAGCAGACTATATAAAGATAATATTTTTGTAGTCTATCCTGAAAGGCAGATAAGCTAAATACAATAATTCATTACAGATGTAATTATTCTTTGATGGGTTACATCAGCTTCTTCAAAATATCTAAATTTGGGTTCACTTTATTCTTCTGATTGGGTGATGATAGACAGCCATTTCCTTTTGAGATAAAAAATAAAATCTACTAGGTTCAGACGCCTCAGGCTTATAGGTTCCAGCTCTGTTGTTCATGTAAAAATGGGTTTTGAGGAGATTATTTCCTCAAAAAAGAGAAGTTTCATTCGAGACTAGCTGAGAAATACAGAACCCCATATCTGCAGTTTGGACTAAGTACCTGTTATTTCCAACCAGATGTCTTGCTAGCACCTTGAATTTAATGTGCTCCAAGGTACCAATATCTTAAGAACCAAATAATTTTCTCTTTGGCCTTTCTATTTGTGTTAATGACACTTTTTTTTTTCTACAGGACTAACCTCTGGCAGCCTCTCTGTAGCCCTCCTAAGAGAACTGACCTCGGGGCAGCAAGAGTTAGTCTGTGTCATGTCATCTTTTACTTGCTGAAGGCACTGAGGTGGACAAATGACCTAAAAAATGTGGTAACTAATCACATTTGGTGTCTTGAAAATGTGAACCATGGAGACTGAGTAAGTTGTTAGTAACAAGGAGCATCACATTAAAAGTGGAATATTAGAATAAGAGTCTATGAATGATTGTGGCTAAGGTTACTAGAGATGTACTGAAAACCTGGCTGATGAGTATATCCTTATATAGGAAGGGAAAGATCCACCAGAGCTTGAAAGTGTACCAAAGTATAGGCAGAGCTAGCTGGGAAATCCCTGAGACCAGAAGCTCATGACCTTAAGGTGTGTGTGTGTGTGTGTGTGTGTGTGTGTGTGTGTCTGTCTTTCTTTCTCTCTCCCAGGAACTCAGCCTGATACTCTTAGGAAAAAAAGACTGGCAGTCTTCAGCCAGAAGGGGTGTGTGTGTGTGTGTGTGTGTGTGTGTGTGTGTGTGTGTCTGCCTTTCTTTCTGCAGTCTTCAGCCAGAAATGTGATCCATAGGGAGCAGGAAGGATGGTAGCTCTGTGTCTGAGATGGCTGACATTGGAATCAGTCCTGCTTCTTAGCAATATGTTGTTGCTTATTTTATAAATAACATGAAAACAAACTTCTTAGGACAGCTAAAGGTACTTTTTTATTAGTATCATCCAACTATTACATAAAGGCCTAACTATTACACTTGCTAGTTTTATTCCATTAAAATTCTAAACTGGACGTTTTAAAGTAATGTCTGTCATTCTTAATTAATCTTAAAATCACTTATTAATTAGAGATTCCTAGGCTCACTTTATGCTTTCTGAATCAGAATCTTCAAGGGATTCCTAAGATCAGGCAAGTTTCAGAAACCCTATTTTAAATAATTCTGTTTGGGTAAGTATTTTCTGAGTTATAAGTACCTGATTTACAAAGAGTTTGTAACAACAGCTATTTATACTGACACAACCATTCCATTCCAACATTATGCATCTTCATTGTTTTGGAGAACAAAGCTGTCAAGACAGATTTAACATTTGGCTACTGATATACACAATTATTTGATTTTTAAATATACATATATATATATTTCTTTTACACTCCTTCCCTTTACCCCTTTGGATGGCAGGAAGGAAAGAGGGCAATGAACACGCATATATATATATAATTTGTTTCACCCTGACAGGTAATTCCATATTAGGCAATCTTTCTCACAAATACATCTATTTTCCTTAATCATCTTACTCATTTCTCTCTGTCATCTAATTCCTGGTCATTTACTACAGGAAAATCTCATTCTCTATTCTCTTTGTTTTATGCACAAAGCAAAAAACAACTCTAAACACGGTTAGTAAATTTAGAAACTACTATTGTTAACATCTACTCAAGAAAAGGAAAGCCAAA